TGAAGGGCAAATAATATGCGAGGTAGGAAGGCTGCAGTCGACGATAGATTATGCACTGATGTCACATAGGATGTATGATAAGCTCAGGGGAATGCACATAGATGAAGGTGGCTCCAGAAGTTTGGGTAGTGATCACAAACGTATCAAGCTAAGTTTTGGAAGAGCAGTGAAAGTGGGAAGGAGACAAGATGAGCAACTACAGGAAAATTTTTATTCAGAAAGGCAAATTGAAATAGCCACTAAACAAATTGAGAAAGTAATCACGGAGGATAATAGGACAGTGTGGACATACATGAATCTAATTAGACTCTTTGAGCTAGGGCTTGCTAAGACGCGTAACAAGTCACCCCGGAAAAGATGACACAAACCCAAAAGTTGGTGGGATGAGGAAGTTAAGAGAGCCATAGCAAAACGTCAGGAAGCCTCTAGGGAACACATACATGCTAAGCAGCGGGGTGAACCGACAGATGATGTTGAAAGAAAATGGGAAACCTTTCTAAGCTGTAGAAGGGCTGCATCCCTTCTGATCAATGAAAAGATTAGAAGAAAGGGAGCTCAGTGGCTGGCAGAAGTACATAAAAAAGATAGAAAGGCAGCTGCGAAATTTTGGAACCATCTAAACTCCCTAAGAAATGAGACGAGCCTAGAGCAGAGTTTTATAACTACAGCCCAAGGTGCCAGGCTAGAAGCTATTGAATATATAAGAGCAAGGGTGACAGAAAAATTTCAACAAAGAAGTACTTTATGCACCACAATAGACAAGGACGAATCAAGTGGTGCAATGGCTCTATTTTCACAACGAGAGTGGGAAAGGGCTGAGAAAAGGGTTCCTAGTAGTACATCAACAGGCCCAGATGGCATTCCAATTAGGCTGATAAAGACATTAGGTCCGAAGTCTAAGCAGGCTTTGAGAGAGGCAGTGAGCAAAATAGTAATCGATGGTGAAGTTCCCGATGGATGGAAACTTAGCAGGATGAGCATGATCTATAAGGGAAAGGGGGACAAAGCTGACATAAACAACTACCGTCCTATAACAGTGACATCAGTGGTCTACAGGCTGGCGATGCAGATTATAAAGGAAAGACTGCAGGCATGGATAGAAGATGAGGGGGTGCTGGGGGAAGTGCAGAATGGGTTTCGGAAACACAGGAGGCTGGAAGACAATCTGTTCTCACTGACGCAGTGCATCGAAATAGCAGAAAAGGAACACAGACCCCTGTGGCTAGCATTCTTGGATATCAAGGGAGCGTACGATAGCGTGGTTCAAGAGGAATTGTGGGGAATACTGGACACACTAGGCGTGGAGCATGTAGTCACTAATCTTTTAAAGGGTATCTATAAAGGTAACAAGGTAGTTATAAAGTGGGAAAAACAGGTATCCAAGCCTGCAGAGGTAAAACGGGGGCTTAGGCAGGGGTGCCCCCTGTCACCCTTATTATGCATGATGTACCTACAAGGATTAGAGGCAAAATTAGAGGGAAGTGGGCTGGGCTCCAACCTCTCTTTAGTCAAACAAGCAAAACCTATTGATCAGGCACTACCAGCATTAATGTACGCAGATGATATAGTGTTAATGGCCAACAACAAGGAAGATTTTGCAGAGATTGATGGACATCTGCGGTAATGAGAAAGATAGGTTAGATTTTAGATTCAGTAAGGAAAAATCAGCAGTCATGATTTTCAATGACAACGAAGGTAGTGAGCTTAGGATACAGGACGTCACGCTAGAGATAATAGATAAATACAAATATCTGGGCGTATGGATAAGCAATGGGACCGAGTACCTGAGGGAACACGAAATATACGTGACGACTAAAGGTCACAGGAATGCAGCAGTGATGAAAAATAGGGCACTGTGGAATTACAATAGGTATGATGTTGTGAGAGGAATATGGAAAGGGGTCATGGTTCCTGGGCTGACGTTCGGCAATGCGGTCTTGTGCATGAGATCAGAAGTTCAAGCAAGATTAGAAATTAAGCAACGTGGAATAGGTAGGCTTGCTTTAGGAGCTCACGGGAATACACCAAATCAGGGAGTACAAGGTGATATGGGATGGACATCATTTGAGGGCAGAGAAGCTAGCAGCAAGATAAAATTTGAGAAGCGATTGAGAGAAATGAAGGAGGAGCGTTGGGCTAGGAAGGTTTTCAGCTACTTGTACATGAAGAATGTCGATACAAAATGGAGGAAGCGAACCAGGAAGTTGACTGGTAAATACTTAGAAAACAGCAGGTGGCCAAACCAAAAAGAACTATCGGTTAAGAAGAAAGTGAAGGAAACGGAGACTGACATGTGGAAAATGGGCATGATTAAGAAGTCCGCACTAGAGATCTATCGAACGTTTAAGCAGGAAATTGCCAAGGAAAGGATCTATGATAACACTCGGGGTAGTTCTCTACTGTTTGAGGCAAGGACGGGAGTACTGCGAACCAAGACATATCGGGCCAAATACGAAGGGGTAGACACAGTATGCAGTGTGTGTGGAGAGGAAGAAGAAACTTCCGAACACTTGATGTTCTGTAAAGGGCTTCACCCTATAGTTAAGGATGATGGCGCAAAGTTTTTCAAAGCACTGCGGTTTAGGGACCGGGAGGGCAAAATAGACTTTAAGCAAGTAGACTTAACTAGAAGGAGATTATCTGATTGGTGGCTAAAGTCAAGGCACGAGTGAAAATTAAACTCTTCACTGCAAAGTACGAATCCTCAAACTCACTTTTTAAGGAAAAAAAGAAATAAATATAGTTTTGAGTTCATTAAGTATTACGGCTTGGCGGCGCTAGCCACCGCCCGATCTAAAGGGTACAGCCATATTCATCTATCCATCCAACAGTGAGAGGAAATGGGCAGTAGGAGTACAGAATGGAGTGCAGGAAGCCGAGACGTCGATGTGGCAGGCGGCTATGGAGAAGAAACCCAGCCTGGCCCTATACAGAGCTCACAAGACCACCATCTCCGCCGAACGATTATATACGACAATAATGTTGGCAGTGCGCTTCTGTTTGAGGCCCGTGCTGGAGCGCTCCGTACAAGTGTGGCGCATACACAAGTTTTTTTTTTTCGTGTTGATAAGTGTCATATTATTTAAAAATGATTTATTGAAATTAGTTTACTTCATGTCACTATGTAAGTTTAAATTACCATTTTAAATCGTAAACATAAATAATACTTACGCGACAATTAAGACACTATGGCGCTGCGAGCGCGTGTGACCTTCGTGCGGCTTGCGTTTCAGTTGGGTATAGGTTGGGCACGCAACGCCGTGCGCCCCCAAGCCCGCAACGCCCCAAGAGCTTGCGTACCCAGCACTAAAACTCTCTACTGTCGGCGCAGCGCAATAAACGCTACAGTCCTTAGAGTTACGTGTGCGTGCCTCTTCCATTATAAACGCATATATACAAAACATCGACGTGTTGTTATGGCGCCTCAGATATGCGTAATAATTGCTTGTACAGACCGACAGACCACATTTTTTTGTCGAAGGTCCCCAAGAAAGACTATAGTCTTTAAAATGCCATGCAATCTTCAGGCATACATGGTGCGCAGAGTTTCGCGCAAAGGCCCTCTTTGCCCCAGAACACACCGGACTGTGCGCGTTTGCTTGCTCGTTAATCACGCACTCATGGCCGCTCCCATGACTATATCATTTCAAAATTGGCATCCTTAGTGCAAACGAGAGGTATTTCAGTGCTGCTTGCCTTTCAGGAAACTGAAGTATAGGCCTGCATTCCATACACTTAGCTGGCAGGAAGACCGATTTACAATTGACTAAATCTTTCGCAAGGGCCTTATTCGACGGCCCGTAACTGCATGTGAAACCAAATTAGGCAACATGTATTTATTAATTATGAAAGGTGTTCTGCAAGACAATATGTGGGGAAAGTTTACCCGCAGAATAGGGCGCACGTTAAAGAACCACAGGTAGTCGAAATTTCTGAAACGCCCCACTACGGCGTCTCTCATAATCATATGGTGGTTTTAGGACGTTACACCCCACATATCAAAGTTTACCCGCAGGTCGGGGGATTGAATCCCGGCTGCGGCAGCTACGTTTTCGATTGAGGCGAAAATGCTGTAGGCCCGTGTGCTCAGATTTTAGTGAACGTTAAAGAACCCCAGGTGGTCAAAATTTCTGGAGCCCTCCACTTCGGCATATCTTATAATCATACGGTGGTTTTGGGACGTTAAACCACACATATCAATCATCATATGGGGGGAAAGTTTAAGAAATATCAAAAATGTTTTTAATCTTCATAAGTTTCTATTGTGTGCTGTTTTCTAGAGTGATTTTATCTCTTTATTGAAGGTGTTATTATTATAAGCTTTGGCAGTTTGAAAAATAAGTATGCTGAGAACGTAATGCAGAATTATCGCTGCTCTGCCATATGCTATTTTTGATATAAAAACCTGCAAAGCAGGCAAAAAATGTCTTTTTTTTTTGGCCGATTTCGAAATTTTTTATAAAAATATGTACACTACCCAGAGGAGTGAAAAATATCTGAGCGCAAGCCCAAACTTGCATATATTTATTTAAACAAATTTAAGAAACATAGCTATAATACATTTTGTATAATTCATAACCAAAGTAGAAGAAAACAGAAGACAAGGTAAGCATGGCACTCCACCTCTTCATCATTAGTGATTTACTGTGCTTCAGTTTCAGTTTCAGTTTATTCATTCATTCAAAATACAAAATTTGTATAATGTAGTATGCAGACGAGGGTCCCAAAGTCAAGCGACTGCAGTGGGACCCTCAAAAAAATTTTTCCAGCAGAGCGATTTGCGGATCTCTTCTTTCCACTCAGTAGGCAACAATATATAAAATTGCTAAATAAATTTAAGAGGTCAACTGGCCCTGCTTTGTTTGATCTTATGTGTAATTACCCTGCTATAGACCTTTTTAATCTTTCTGGGCTGCTGCATGGGGGTGCAAAAGCTGAGATCGCAGTCTCGGCCCGGCATTTTTGGGGGGTCACGCATGTTAACAACAGCCAAGAGGGGCTCACTGTGGCACCCAGGGAGCCTTCATTCACAAAGTGCATAGAATAGAATCATTGCCAACAACATACAATACATTGCAACACCACTTGTAAGCCTTTACACACATGGCTACTATTCATGCATACTGTACATAGATGCTGCATCTTAATGAAGTATTTTCAGCTTAACAATACAGCAACATCGCCTATTTACAATCCAGTAAGTGATGGCGTAAACTCGAAACAAGTCACTGCGGACGCTTGGCTAAGTGTGGGTTGTACTGGGAGTTGTAGCCACGTCGTCTATCATCCATGATGACGTCATGCAACTTGTCCTGAACTGGCAGCTCTCCCCGAGCTCTTCGAAGGAGTTCCTCGGCCTTTGCTCGCTCTGCCTTCTCACGAGCCAACCTCTCAGCACGCAGCTGTTCCAGTGGCTTATCCAGGCGCTTTACTTTCTTCGAATGTAATTCTGTTTTCTGTGCAATTTGCTAAAAATGATTGAGAGAGCAAAACTGTTAGTTTGATTCTACTTTCACGCACAGTGCATTTCTCATGCTAGAGTACAACAATCTGCTATTTCAGCGGCCAGTGTCAGCAAGAACATACGTTTTTCAATACACTTTGCAAGGCACACGAACCTGTTTTCAATGTTCATGTTCTTGCATTACACTTCACTATGAATACCTGCACTAAAGACATCAAAGATGTTTACAGATTACCATAGATAAAACTGAATGAAGGTAAATTATAGCACAGTCCATTAGGAGTTGCTAAATAAGAAACATTGTTAGAGCCAGAATTATAACAGCGGGATTTGTCTTCAACAGTTCATGTCTCAAAAATACAGCAATGTTGCCGATACACCACCCCAGTAAATTCTCTTGTCGAAAAGTTGGCTAGAGTAACATTTTTTGATTCAACAGATTTCCTATCACTTCAAGGCTCCATGTACCCTTGAACATCAGTATTGCTTGAATACATAGCATTTCACCTTTGTTTTCTGACACTGTGCATCTATCACAAAAAACAACAAGGATCCTGCACCACTATGCTTATATTTACGCCTTTCTGAAGCACATGAGAAAATCTCACTTCTAACATTTGAGAGCAAAGGTAAACACATTAGCAAGACTGCAATACCGCAGATATCACACAACAACTGCGAACAGTGAACGCGGCTATTGTTGATTGTGGCAAAAGCCGATAAACTATACTTTATATGAACAGCCGCAGATGTCAAGTCGCCTTTAGGCAATAAGCCATTATCAGTATTAGTTTGTTTCTAAATTTTTCACTATGCTATTTTAAACTACAGGGTGCTCATTACGACACAAAATAATATAAGCTCATTGATAACTAAAAAAGAGTGAAAATAGAAATTTTTTGATATTGTTACAGCTGTTTCCATTAGGTCTGTATGGTAGCTAAAATGGCATGAAAGAAGGAAGTGACAATCACATTTAGCTTCTTGATCTTCTGACCGTTTTCTTTCAAATCATACTTCAAGGAGACATAATGCTTCATGAGATGCAGTGGGTCTATGCGGTCTTTATTCTTGGCATCCCTTGTTTCTCTGGCAAGAAAATCAACAAAATTTTACAAAAAAGAACATCAATATCACAAGCACCACTTAATAAAAAGCAAACAAGCATGCAAAGCTTTACATGTGAGACTCCTGTTGTCTAGTTCTCTCCTTGTGCATCCATGATGCATGCTTTACTTTCTTTCATTATGAAACCCCAATAGCTAGGGTGCCTTGATGTTTTAGGGTGAGGATGTCTTCGGAGTCTACTGCAGTGCGGCTGCCATATTTGAGCCAACGGTGTCTTATCGATATCTCAACGCTCCGCTGATAAACACGGGATGCAGGGCAAAACATGGCCCCGCTGCGGCATCAGCCCCTTCAAATAATGGCAACATCCTAAGGGTGTTGCCATTCTTGTGCACACATTAAGGCACACTACCAACAGCTACCTCAACTTTTTTTTTGTTCTTAGTAACAATGTTTGTTTGTTTCTTATTTTAGTTTGTTAAGGCTTAAGTTTGGTCAAATGCATACTCATGTGAAGTATAGCGACCATAAATGAAAAGAGCTTTGTCCATGAGGACTTATAGATCAGGTGGATATTTCCAAGTTTACTGTTGAATGCTACAGTAATTGCATCCTAAGTTCAAGCAGCAAAGCATCTAAAGGTTTTTTTTTTTTTACATCCACTAGCCAGAAACATTCTGTCACATCCACAATTTATATCCGAGAAATTCTGCATTTTTAACCTGAAACTTATCATTTCAAACAGTGTACAGGTTCAACAACTTTATTTCTTCATTTTAGGCTGTAGAGAAATGCTCATAAGGCACATGCTAATTAACCAAAAGTAAATAGGAGGAGGAAATAACTTTAATAAAGGAAAAAAACGACAAAATGTGGAAGAATTGTCTCCTTCCCCTAGGTGGCGGTCATGAGTCTTTGCGCTCTGGCAGCATCCTCGGCTTGCCGAAGGACTTTGAGTTGCACTTCTGGGTCTGCGCTTAGCAGTGCGGTCTCTCACTGCTCTCCATTGCTGTATATTTTATATTGTCCTGTCACTGAGGGGCAAGCCCACAGTATATGATTGAGATCCGCCCATTGATTACAGAATTTACACAAATCTGAGTATATCTCTGGGTAGATGCATTGATAAGTTACTAGGTTCAAGAAAGTGTTGGTTTGTATGAGGTGCCATGCTGTCGCCTGCTGCTTGTTGAGCGAGGTATGTGCCGGGGGGAATCCGCCCTTCCTAGCCTGTAGTGTTTTGTGATCTCTTCATAACTAACCATGCGGTCCCCCTCTCCGTCCCCGGACTTCATGCTGCACTTGTTCAGGCCGGCCAATTCTCGAGTAAGGTCGTGCACAATTTCGTTCCTGGGGAGGGATGAGTGAGCAAGTGCCCATATAATATGAACTACCCACTCGTCGCAAAAGTTTGCCAGAATTCTTAGCGCTTCCGGTGAGATCCTTCCTTTGGCATAATTTTTAGCAGCGGTTTTGGAATCGATGATCACGACTTCGGCTTTTGTGGAGGCTAGTGATAGTGCTATAGCTGCCTCCTCCGTCACTTCTGCCCTATCTGTACGTACACTGCCACTGACGTTGGAATCCTATTAAATATCCGTCGCTATGATTACCATGTTTTGGCCATACTCGTATTCTGCTGCACCTACATAGACCATGTCCCGGGCGTCGCTGAACTTTTTATGTAGGGTACTTTTAGGACTTCCACCCAGCTGTGATATTTGCGGCATGTTCATTAAGCCAAAATGTCCAGTTTCTCCATTATACTCGCGACAAGTAATGAGGTATAAGATTCCATTGTATGCAATACTCTTCATTATTCACACATTGAAAAGGCACGCATAGTGATTTTGGTCAATCACTTAAGTGGATTCAAGACAAATGAAGGCAAAGACTTGATTTTGCACACAGACATGGTCTTAGGCACATGATGCCAGCAGTAAAAAATATTTTGTAGACTGGTGAACTCCAATCCAAGCTCTAATAGTCATTGCAAGCTCACAGCTCCCTGATGTCATAACCAAAAACAGCTGGCTTCAAGCTTTCTACATTACCAAGGTGCAAAAAAGATTACTAATTGGTATTGATTGATATGTGGGGTTTAACGTCCCAAAACCACCATATGATTATGAGAGACGCCGTAGTGAAGGGCTCCGGAAATTTCGACCACCTGGGGTTCTTTAACGTGCACCCAAATCTGAGCACACCCCTACAACATTTCCGCCTCCATCGGAAATGCAGCCGCCGCAGCCGGGATTTGAACCCGCGACATGCGGGTCAGCAGCCGAGTACCTTAGCCACTAGACCACCGCGGCAGGGCGCTTACTAATTGGTATACAAGCTGTGAGCTTGCAAAGGCTGAAATTATTTCTGAGCGCAGTGCAGAAAAGACAAGGGGCCCTTTCAACAGATTTATGTAACCGGTGGAAACCAGGAGTTCTGAGATAAAAAAGTTATTGTATTCAATAAAAAGGCTTAATTAACTTTTAATAACTATACTGAACTACTGCACAGTAAACTTAGGTGGCACAAATCTATAAACTCGCACTATATTCAAAATGTACACCTTTAAATTTTTCGAAAAATAGGTTTTAAACAGAATTTCATGAAACACAGACATGTGAAGCTGTTGCACAAAATAATACACAAAGCACCAATAGCACATCGCGAGGCACAATTTTAAAAGACATAAAACTGTTAGAACAAATGACCAGCTCACAAAAGTGTAGCACAAGCCCAAAAACTATAGTAAATATAGCAGAAAACCAACTTTTCTGACTTCTCATGAAGCTGCAAGCGGTCTTCATGTGACTCGGCAAACCATGGTTTGCTCCCTAAGAAAGAAAATCACAACCAAATGAGCATTAATAAATGCCGAAAACCATCTGTGGCAAAGCACAACTCGCACTCAAAAGCAGCTACACAGAAACGTTCGAACATGCTCATATGTGATGACGCAAAAGACGACAGAGTTTCGTACTGAAGAAAAGCATTTACTTCACTGCTTTTTGGGAAAGGGCACACACAAACAAATTTAAACAGCCATTATAGACGCTATAAACTAAAATGACAAAGATGTATGAAAGTAAAGAACAAAACACCTATTTTAGATATCCCCTTATCAAAGTGCAAAGCCTGGATAATGACCAGCTAGGAGTGCATAACAATTATAGTTATATCTTGACAAGTCTAAATTATATATTTTTTAATAAAAGCTCCAATGATATCCTAGAAAAAAAGATTATGTGGCCAAATTCCCATTTCAAGGTCAGTTCAATTGAACTATCTTGGGACCAAGAATACTGGATGGCTTCCAACTGGAACAAACCACGTCCAGTTAAGTTCAAATGAGAGGCACTTGCACGAAAATCATTGCTGCCAAGCTAAGAAGAACTGAGTACTTTGACAAAGACAGCAACACACAATTGTGACGATATAAAAGGAAGCAAATAGAGCTGGCATGAAGCAGTTAAAGATGACCGGAGCTGTGCATTTTAACAGAAACAGCAGCCCAACCCAGGTAGCCACTGAGCCATGGGTTCAAAGACCAACAACATCTGCAATGGGGCACCCACCTTATCCCTTGAAAAATATGAGAAAGAACAAAATAAAAGAGGAGGAAATGGTTGTAGTGGTGTGCGTCTAGCTTTCTGGGAGACATAACCACCATGCGGCCATGATATTGAAATAAGCTGACCGATGCATGCATCAGCCGTTTGTGATACTAAGTAGCCAAGCTTTTTGTGAGACAGAGATGACTTAGTAAACAAGCTCACAGCAAGAAGCCTTCACACCATTTGGTGTGCATATAACCAGCGATTTCTTGCACATTAAATGAATTCTGGCATCAACACGGTCAACCAGTGGGCAATGGCCACCTTCTGTAAAATATGATATCTATGTGCAGAGCAGACAAAAAAATACATAAGAGCAGGACAGTATAGTGGAGGTGACACAGCTAGCATATATAATAAAGGAGGCATCAGAGGAGTTGGGTGGTTGGGCTTCCTGGCCACGGCATCTGCATCAGCAATGCACAAAAAACCTCATATGCATTTTTCTGTTACTGCATTGGAATGGGAAAATAGCTTCCCTACTCATTAAAAGATGCATGTTTTTTTTCTTGATTTTTTTAACAGCATAGGTCAGTCACCTGTGCTTGACAAAAAATGCTTTCTTTTTGGATTCACACCGGTTGTTTGTATCACCACTACTAAAATGAGGACAAAACAGGCATACACATACCAGAGGCTTCACTTGAGCTCTGTCCCAAATATGTGAGAAGGCCTATTTTTTTCTCATAGTCTTCCTGCTCAGCCTTCTTTTCTTTCTCACGATCTTCATTTTTAGAATGCAGGTTTCGCTGATGCACAAGGAAGAGGACAAACAGAATAGGTGAAGGGAACAGCACACTTTCCATGAAAAAAGCTTCTTGAAAAGTTACATAGTACATACAATGGTGCTCAGTATGACTTGCAACATGGAAGTGTATGGCCTCACGAGCTCTAATATTGTACATAGCTTCAACTTGTGCTCATTTACACAACTAAAGAATATGTTTGTATTCCGGAGAGTTAACCCCTTTTGCATTCTGCCAACAGAAGCTAGTCTATGTATAAGGCTGTCCGCCCAATTACTAGCCAAACCTGCTCTAGTCAGTTACTGGTAGCATTCAAACATGCAGTTTATCAGCCCAGTTTATACTAAACACCATGTATATTCTTATTTTATTTATTTGTAAATGCTAAGTGCCACTGTTCATGTACGTCGACGTAGGTACAAATCACAAAGATAAAAATATATGCTGGTTTAGCTTCGTCAAGCTGAGCAAGCTAAGAGTTAGACCCCTTCTGCATTCTGGCCAACAGAAGCTAGTCTATGTATAAGGCTGTCTGCCCAATTACTAGCCAAACCTGCTCTAGTCAGTTACTGGTAGCATTCAAACATGCAGTTTATCAGCCCTAGTTTATACAAAACAACATGTATATTTTTATTTTATTTATTTGTAGATACTGCGATCTTTCTTCAAGATCTTGGCAGCGTGGTAAATGACAGGTAAACTCAACAGAAAAATAACAATGGGTAACGAACATATTATACACGCGCTTTCGAGAAAAAAAAAAAAGGCAAGCGACGTTATTCTAACAAATTTCAAATCGAGCAGAGAATGCGTTTAGCACAAGTAAAAAACAGAAAGAAAGCAAATGAAACATCTCAGCTAGACAAGGAAACTGATTACTATTGAAGCTGTGACTCAAATTGTGATAGTGAGTCTATGTAACGGTTTTATCAGGCAGTTTGTTCCAATCTACTATCGTTCTTGGAAAGAAAGAGTACTTGTAACCAACGTTTTTAGATAAAAACGTTGCTTGTGTGATGACGTTTATTCGAGCCGAGAAGTCGCAGCGAGGTCGCAACAGAAAGTGGGCGTACGGCAAGTCTGGCAGAGGCGGCACAAACTCTCGCGCAAGCAGAGCACGGGCTTTTTGTTGTCTTCCGAAGGCGCATACGCGTTGGTGCGTATGCTCCACTACAATACCCCCGGGATGAAGGGTAGCCATCCTGGCGACTCAGGGAGTAGGCACAATGATGGGGTCGTAGTAGGGCTTGAGACGGTCGACGTGTACGGTCTCGCGTCCTCGACGGCGCAAATCTGGTGATTGTGTTAACGGCTCGATGATGTAATTCACCGGGGAGGTCGCGTCAATGATACGGTACGGACCATGGTACCGGGCCAGAAGTTTGGAAGATAGGCCAGGAACGTGCGGGGGCACCCAAAGCCACACAAGGGAGCCAGCACGAAATGTAGGAGCTATGCGGTGAGCGTCGTCGTGTCGAGTCTTTTGTAGACCTTGAGCCTCACTTGTCAGAGACCGAGCCAACTGACGGCAGTCTTCAGCGTATCTGGCGACTTCCGAAAGCGGGGAGCACTCAGATGCATCAGGGCGGTACGGTAGTATAGTGTCAAGGGGTGGGAAGGTTCGCGGCCGTACAATAGAAAGAACGGAGAAAAACCGGTAGTCGCTTGCGTCGCGGTGTTATAAGCGAAGGTAACAAAGGGCAATACAGCGTCCCAGTTAGTGTGGTCGGAGGAGGTGTACATCCTCAGCATGTCGCCAAGTGTGCGGTTGAACCGCTCAGTAAGACCATTTGTCTGTGGATGGTATGCGGTAGATTTCCGGTGGATAATGTTGCATTCAGCGAGGATAGCTTGGATGACCTCCGACAGGAACACTCGACCCCTATCACTGAGTAATTCCCGCGGAGCACCATGGCGTAGAATGAAGCTGCGGAGAATGAAGAGTGCAACTTCGTGGGCGGTCGCTGCCGGTAGAGCTGCAGTCTCAGCGTAGCGTGTCAGATGATCGACTCCGACAATAATCCACCGGTTTCCAGAGCTACTATATGGGAGTGGGCCATAGAGGTCTATACCCACGCGGTCGAATGGGCGAGCCGGGCACGGCAGCGGCTGTAACATGCCGGTAAGGTGCCGCGGAGGTGTTTTGTTCTGTTGGCAAGTGGTGCAAGACTGAATGTATTTCTGCACAAAACGATACATTCCTCGCCAGTAATAGCGTTGGCGCAGCCGTTCGTAGGTTTTCAGGACACCTGCGTGAGCACTTTGGGGATCTGCATGGAAATTCATGCAGATGTCAGAGCGCATATGAGTTGGGACAGCAAGGAGCCACTTCCGACCACCAGGCGTGTAGTTGCGGCGGTACAGAATGTTGTCACGTAAGGAAAAGTGGGCTGCTTGCCGGCGTACCGCTCTCGTGGAAGGGACAGAAGATGGATCGGTAAGGTAGTCGACTAACAAGGCAAGGTATGGGTCTTTACGCTGCTCCGAAAGCATGTCAGTGCTGTCGAGTGGTGACAAGGTGGTAAAAGGGGGTGACAGAGAAGCCACATCTGGTGTTAATGGCGATCGGGAAAGTGCATCGGCGTCCGCATGCTTGCGACCGGAACGATATACGACACGGATGTCGTATTCCTGCAATCGAAGTGCCCAACGGCCCAGACGTCCGGACGGGTCTTTCAAGGTGGACAGCCAACATAGAGCGTGGTGGTCTGTGACCACATCGAAGGACGGCCGTAAAGGTACGGGCGAAACTTCGTAAGCGCCCAGATTATGGCCAAACACTCCTTCTCTGTCACGGAGTAATTCAATTCAGCCTTCTTAAGAGCGCGACTTGCATAAGCAACTACGTATTCGGTTTGGGTACCTTTCCGTTGTGCCAAAACTGCGCCAAGACCAACGCCGCTTGCATCAGTGTGAACTTCTGTGGCAGCAGTGGGGTCGTAGTGGCGAAGAATAGGTGGCGAGGTCAGCAGGCGGCGCAGCTGGTGAAATGCGTCGTCACATGCAGGTGACCATGCAGATATACCTTTGCTGTTGGAAAGCAGACTAGTCAGAGGTGCAATGATGGACGCGAAGTTGCGCACGAAGCGACGAAAGTAAGAGCAAAGACCAACGAAACTTCTTAGGGCTTTCAGTGATGTGGGCATGGGGAAGTCAGCGACAGCTCGAAGCTTATCGGGGTCCGGAAGAACACCGTCTCTTGTGATGACATGTCCCAAGATGGTTAGTTTGCGGGCTGCGAAGTTGCACTTCTTGGTGTTAAGTTGTAGGCCTGCAGAAGCTAGACACGCCAGAACCTCATGGAGACGACGAAGATGTGTCGGGAAATCAGCTGAAAAGACTACGATGTCATCTAGGTAACACAAGCAAGTTTTCCACTTGTGGGCCCGCAATATGGTATCTATCATGCGTTCAAACGTCGCAGGCGCGTTGCAGAGCCCAAATGGCATGACTTTGAACTCATACAGGCCATCTGGCGTTACAAAGGCTGTTTTAGGGCGATCACATTCAGCCATTGGCACCTGCCAATACCCAGAACGCAGATCCAAGGATGTGAAGTACTCGGCGCCTTGTAAACAGTCAAGAGCATCGTCTATTCGTGGTAGCGGGTAGACGTCTTTCTTTGTAATCTTGTTTAAGCGGCGATAGTCCACGCAAAATCGAACGGTGCCATCTTTTTTCTTTACCAGAACCACGGGTGACGACCAAGCGCTTTGAGAAGGCTGTATGACTCCACGTTTAAGCATGTCATCTACTTGCTCCGTAATGACGCGGCGCTCTTCGGCAGAAACGCGGTAAGGACGCTGTCGCAGAGGCGAATGTGAGCCGGTGTCAATAGTATGAGTGACAGTCGTGGTGCGGCCCAAAGCAGGTTTCTGAAAGTCGAAAGAAGAGCGAAACTTGTTAAGGAGAGCAACAAGTTGGCTGCGATGCGAGGGGGGAAGGTCTGCGTCAATAGCATCGTCGAAGGCTGGTGAGCTTGATGGCTCAGACGCCTGAGTGATTGCGGCAATCTGACATGGCGTTTCGTCGGGAAGAATAATATCATTGATATGGTCGACAGGTTGCACATATCCTAACGTTTCACCACGAAGCAAGCCAATGGGGTAGTTGCAGTGGTTGGTAACCAGCATTACGGTTAAACCAGACGCAATCGTAAGAACGGCAAATGGGAGCACGATGCCCTTGCGTTCAGTAAAAACAGGGGATGGCGTAAATACCACCGTGGCGTCAGGTTGCGCCACACATGAAAGGCTAATAGGGACTGAAGCTTCCGGAGGCAAGGTGATGTCGTCGTCAGCGATGAGTTTGCAGAGCAGTGGTGAATGGTCGGGCGATGGAAACTCACAATTTGGCACTAGGGACACTTCCGCACGGCAACAATCGATGATAGCTTCATGACCTGATAAGAATCCCAACCCAGGATGAGGTCATGAGAGCAAGATGGTAGTACGAAAATTGGACGATGTACAAAACGTCTTGGATGACGACGCGCGCCGTACACACAGACGAGGGCTGAATGCGTTGCGCGCTAGCCGTGGACAGCACGATGCCACAGAGAGATGTGGTCACTTTCTTCAATTTGCGACAAAATTTTGCGTTCATCACAGAAACGGCGGCCCCAGTATCAATTAACGCTTGAGTGGCGACTCCCTCAACATTGACATCAACAACATTTCGCGGCGAAAATGGAGGCCTTGATAATTGCGCAGAAGTTGCAGTTCTTGCCTCTGGAACTGCACTGATTAGTTTCCCTCCTCAGGAGGTGGTCTACGACGCATAGGAGATGGTGATCGGCGACGAGGAGATGGGAAACGAGAAGTTGATGGGCGACGATCCGAGTCAGAGTGCCTCTGTTCGTATGCAGACGAGGTGGCCTGCTGCGACGCATAGGTAGGAGTTCCAAAGGAGGCGTACGCAGGTGTGGGACGGCGGCGGCAGTAGCGTGCAATGTGGCCAGCGATGCCACACGCGAAGCAGATAGGACGGTTGTCATGGGTGCGCCACTCATTAGATTGACGGAAAAAGCGAGGTGAGGGCCTGTAAACCGGTGGCGCTGCGGAGGAGTTGGAGCCGATAAGGCGACTGGATGCGGTGGGGGCCGCGCGACCACAGCTGCGTAGCTGAGAGGTGAAGGCGGCGCAGTTGGTGCGTAGCCAGCAGTTGAGAGATCAGATGGCACCGAAGTGCACGGGTAAGAGGCCGGAACTGTAGGGAGTGCATTGCAAATTTCAGTGCGTATGGCCTGCTGCATATTCGAAGGGAGGCTTGTCGTGGGCGCGTCACTATGCGGCAGCAGGGAAAGCTGTCGGGCGACTTCCTCCCTGATGAAGTCTTTAATCTGGTTCGACAGAGTTCCTTGGTGAACGTTGCCATTGGCGAGTGCGACGGCCGAGATGGAATCTGGTGATGGAACACTCTGTCGGGCGATGGAACGCTGACGACGCAGTTCATCGAAGCTCTGGCACAGGCTTACGAGGACCGCCACCGTGGTCGGGCTCTTCGCCAGCAACATCTGGAATGCGCCATCCTCGATGCCTTTGAGAATATGTCGAATTTTCTCTTCTTCAGGCATGGATGAGTTAACACGCCTGCAGAGGTCGAGCACATCCTCAATATAGCTAGTAAAGGTCTCACCAGGTTGCTGGGCTCGGTGGCGCAGACGCTGGTCAGCGCGGAGCTTGCGGACCTCTGGTCGGCCGAACGCTTCGGTCACGAGGTCTTGAAGGTGGACCAGCTGGCGATGGCGGTTCGTGGTTGGTGAACCATAGCTTGGCGACGTCAGCCAAGTAAAAGATGACATAGGCAAGCTTGGAGTCGTTGTCCCATTGTTGCTGGCACTCACGCGTTCGTACAAGGAGAGCCAGTCTTCGACGTCTTGCTCACCACTGCCGCTGAAGATTGGTGGGTCCCGCTGACGGGTAGCACCGGGGCAGGTCGACGGGGCAGCCGATGGTGCTCTGACGATGGGAACTTCCTGGAGGTTATTGAAATGAATGAGGACCACAACCATGAGTTATCGAAGGTATGGAGTTCCTAAGCATCCTTAAAAGTGTGCGACAGTATCTTAATGCCCTGTCCTTCATCCCTCACCATGTGTTGTTAAATTAAGCCAATACAGCTTTTGCTGTTACCTGTTCATATTGGTTAGTGAAGTTCAGTTCTGTTTTTTCACAGAAACAAACCTGAGTTTTGAGGTTATACAGGGTGACATGCACCACTGAAATATACTTTTGACGAAATGTTTGACGTGCTTACTTGATCGCGCAAAATGTTCTCGCTCAATTCTCATTGAGCTGGTAGCACCAGCACAGGGGATGCGAAGTTTTGCGATGTCAAATTAATGGGATCAAAGCAGTACATGCAGGTTCATTTCTTATTCACACTCAGAGGAATTCCTGCTGCATCATTATTACATTGAGGCAGATTAACTGCAACTTGCTTGTCATCAAAGCCGCCATTCTACAGTGCTACTACATTCAGGAACTGTGTCCTTGACATCACATGCGAGCCATATATAGGAAACACAGATTTACAGTTACAAGCATGATAAGGTGAGATTGAAGTGAGCTTGCTTGTGCTAAGAACCTAGATGCCATATATGCAGAATGTTGTCTGCACTTGTTTGCTTCACTCTGTGAGCTTGACATTGCATAATGCAGTTAACCTATAATTGCATATGTAGTTCAGTTTAACATTGAATGAAAAGTTTATTTTATTGCAGTTACTCTACAGCCACCTGCCACAAACCAGAGCATTAAGAGAACCAGGGGCCAAGGAGGAAGCCACACAGCTCTTGGCTTTGCATGCCAACAAGAAGTTGGTTAAGAAAAGGATAGAAGAAAAGACGGGGAAACTTGTCCTGCTCAAAGACTTGAGCAATGCGGCCTCTTCCCTCAGACCACAGACAAGGAATGACCTCATTAAGACTGCAGCTCTTCTGCAAAATGAGCATGGTAAGCACCTGATATTGTAGCACAAGTTTTTAAATAATTGCATCTGGGTTTTCCAGTGGGCTTCAGAGAAACTCGTATGTACAGTCGGCCAAATCTTTTACATTTAGACCATGAAATTTATTTCTACAGGTACAGACTACCACATCCTTGCTGATGGGGAAAACTTCCAAGGAATTTTGCTGTCCAATGAGTCTATGCGGTCAAATATGGATGCCTACCCAGAATTCCTAGGAATTGATGCCACCTACAAGCTTCTAGAAATACGAACACCAGTCTATGTGATGCACGTTGAAGACTCCAATGGAGACACAGAGACAGTATGTGTTGCAATTCTTGTGAATGAGTCTGCACCCACTATCAAATGGATGTTGGAAAAGTTCAAGGAACTGCACCCATCTTGGCCAAAAGTAAAGTGTGTCATGGCAGACAAGGACCTTTTGGAGCGTGACCTTCTCAAAGAAAGCTTCCCGCAGTCGAAGGTGCTCATCTGTGTGTTCCACACTTTAAAGACTTTTCGACGCGAGATTGCCTGCAACAAGATGAACATCACTGCAGAGGAAAGGGACCAAGCCCTGGCACTGCTCCAGAAGATGGTCCTGTCACGATCGAGTGAAAAATTTGAGGAGCTTCAACTGGAATTTGACAATAATGTTTGCCAAGAGATCCGCTCTTACTATGACAAAAACTGGCGTCCCATCAAGGATGAGTGGTACACTGGACCCAAGTTTATGTCTGAAAACTTTAACAACACTACCAACAACAGAATTGAAAGTCTGAACGCAAAACTGAAAAGTGTTATAAAAAGAATAGCTCCCTTGAAGAGTTTGTGTGCTCACTTTTCACAGTATTGAACGCCTTGAGCGATGAACGTGACCACAGAGCATTGACAAGCATATCCAAAAGACCTTGCAAAGCACCTTCTAGCCCTGAAGAAGCTATGTATCAGGAATCATTGACTCCCTATGCCTTTAAGCTTGTAAGGGAGCAGATCTACCTGTCAGCCAAGCGAGTACCAAGTGACCAAAAAGCAGATGTGTTCACATTCGAGGCGTCGTCTGGCAACACGTCAACAACAAAAACTAACTGCAATTGTTCCTTTTGGAACGCTATGAGACTGCCATGCCGGCATGTGTTTGCAGTTAGGCGGACTCTGAACATTAGTCTCTTTGATGACAAACTTTTTCTAAAAAGGTGGTCCAAGGCATATTACTACTGTCATCAGAGAGCCTTCCTTTCTCAAGAGAAGTGCACAACTGAACATTCCATTTCGGAGCAGGCTGCAAAACCTCGGAGGCCAATGTCGCAGCATGAGAAATACAGGGAGGTATTTCCTACATGCAAGTACATAGCTCAACTTGCTGCAGAAGAAACAGGTGAAAGATACCAGGGCCGTCTAAAAGTTTTGTTGGCACTCTCTGAGGCATGGGAGCAAGGGCGCGAAATTGAAATCGTGGAAGTGTTGCGTCATGAAGCCTCATCCCCTTCATCACCAGAGCAAGTCAGACGCCAGCTGGAGCTGACTGTGTCCGTAGAAGAGAATGCAGAGTCACCCAAAGCTGCATCAGGTGAGGATTGGGACACGTCTGAAACTGCAGATCAGAATAATTCACATGATCAACCAGATCTGCCTCAAGCACCTTTAAGCCATACCGGGGCAGAACCACTTCATACCACTCCTGAGAAAGAGCAGCGTGCCCATAATGCAGGTGCATGCGAAACTCCTGATGAAGTGAGAAAGGCACAGCCACGCGAGAATACCTTGGCCCCTGCAAGCAGCGCCGGGCCTTCAGACTACATGCGCGAACGCCTCGGAAAGCTGAAAGTGCCCGCTAAGGTGAAGTCACGAGGTCGACCCAAAGGGGCGGAGAAAACCGTTATTGGGCTTCCACGACGGCGGCAGGGACCCCACAAATCAGCAGCAACACTGCAGCCATTTCGCGATCTGCCTCCTCAGGAAAAGGAGCTCAGGATCCTAAGTTGCTTAGTTCCTCAGGGCCTGCTAAGTGAGGTTCAGCAGGGGAAACTGCTACTCGGTGAGTTGTGAGATTTACCTTTATTTATGCTTAAATTTCCTATTTTGTTGCAACTTCAGTCGCTATCTAAGGTGTAGTACGAAGGTGTCTGATATCACCTATAGGGCTGCAACTACAGCTACATTCTGTAAGAATGTAGCTGTAGTTGCAGCTAATATTGAGTGTTCAATTCACAAAATAAACCTGAGCCCTAGAAATAAGTTCCCCTTGTTCAGATTCATAGCATTCTGTTGTACCTTAAAGCCATCTGATGGCAGGTTCAGAACACTTATTCAGTAATTTTTACAGGTGAGGACCAGGTGGAAACCATACCTTCCAGGATTCCAGAGACAATCCTCGACGAGGAAGTTCACCTTGACTGTGTCCAGAAATACTTCACTGAAGACGGCTGGACAGCTGTGCTGGCAACAGTCAAGGTGAAGAAGCAAACCATAAAGTGGAAATGCAACGAATGTCGGGACCTGTTAGAAGAGGACCCTTCTGTGATTTGTGACTTATGTTTGTGTTGGTTCCACCAAATCTGTACTTCACTGAGCAGCCGCAACAGGAATAGTTCCTGGTTTTGTGCGAAGTGTGTAGCAGCAGCCCAAATGTAAAGGAGCTGCTCCGTGAGTGGAACACAGCGATGGGAAACCTGCTGCAATTGCTCCTACGTGCTATATTTTGTTAAAGCTGGTCCATACATGCTACAAATGAGCAAAATTACTCCAACCTGCTACGTTTTGTGAAAGCTACTACATTAATGCTACAAATGAGCAGAATTGCTCCAAAGCTTCTACGCAAGCAGGGTTTGCTTCTACGCAAGCAGGGGAGCTCGCAAGCAGGGTTTGCTTAAGCACAACAAAAGATGGCTGAGTGTATGCCCCACTGGCATGCTTATAAAAAATGGAAGAAAGCTTAGTGCTGTTTCATGCGAGTGACATTTACATGTATTGTGTGTCTGTGTATTTGTTCCTATTATTCTTCATACAATTGTGATCCTTTGATTAAAGCTTGCATTAGTTGTGCCTTCAGTGAACACTGAATTCATTCATTGTATACATATGGTCTCTTCGTTTTGGCTGCACCGGCTGAACCAGTTCAAAGGGTGCAGCACCTTCGTCCTCGTTTTGCCGGAGCAGCGCGCGCCCTCTGTCGCACCCTCTGCACTGGCTCCCTCGTTTTGTCTAGGTGTAAGCCTAGTTCCTGACGAGTTCTGTACCGGCGTGCACGCACTCCAAAGCAGGTGCAGAGTAGTGCAGCATGGCGGGCGTCCCCCCAAGGCCAGAGCAGACGACGTTGCAAATAGTTGTTCAGGGCGTTCAAAAGGAAGTTAAGGCACTTCACAATCCCGACGGGTCATTTATGACGGACGCCAACGGTTACGTCTATGAGGCATCAGGTAAGTCAGGCTGCATGCATTGCCAAAAAACGTGGTTAGCGGCCAGGAGTCGTAGTCGGTCAGCAAACAGCCTCGTAGCATTGCTTATGCTATGTCGGTATTTTTAATCTTGGTTTTCGCCCTTGCAGACGGCAAGCGCGTTACGTTGCGGTTCATGGCAGGGAATCGTGAAAATGACCCCCCTCCGGCACAACCGCCGACGCCTTCTCCTGCCTGCGACGGCGACGTTGACAGCGATGGGGCTTTAGCCGCATTTCCAGCAGCAGCCGCGTCGGCTGAAGATGTGGAAGAGCTTTGGAGCGCCCGAAAAACAAGGTTCTTCATCGCCAAATACTCGGAAATGAAGGACTTGGTGGGAAAAACCAGGGCACTTCGGTATGTCATCCTATGTCCAAAATTATTTGCAGCTTTTTATTATTCCGTTTCACTCTAGGCAAGCACCAACAAGATAAGGGCGCATGAAGTTCACAATGGCGATGGTTATTGTTGCCTACATTTTACTGCCAGCAATTTACATTTTACTGCCCCCCCCCACTGAAAAAAAATTTTGGCTATGCGCCTGACTGTGACATATACGTTTACATATACACACAAACAGTATGTATAGTCACGCACATATATACACAACGAAGGCATTCGTAATGTTTCATTAAGTCAAGTGATCTTCAAAAACAGCGACGGTGCTTTTGTGTTGGGCATTGCACAACCGCTGTCTTGCCGAAAAGGTGCAGCACCTCCAAGCTCAAGCCATGTTGCAAGTGTAGTGCTGCCTTGAGAATTTGCACTAGAGGGAATTGCATGTTGTTATTCTGAGGCACATCTCTAGCAAGTCTCGCCCTGCAGTCCTTGTGTCTTCACTGTCTGTCCGCATTTCTCTCGCACTGCCACTTTTCAAGATGGTGCAGCTCATTGTTAAAAGAGATATGCTTCTTGACACGTGCTACCCTATCTTTGAACCTAGACTGCGCCGTCGTGTCAGCAAACAAGGTTGCGCAGCTGCATGTTTTACAATGCAAAGACAGGTTAGAATATGGCTGTCTCCTTAGTGAAGCTTTATGATCCAAAAGAGTGATTTACACAATGTTCAACTTCTCCAACATAATGCTTCCCGCACAAAAAGAACGTTCGCAGTTATCAGAAGTGTGTGAATAGTGAATTTCGGAACCTAATCAAGTAAGAGTCAAATAGTAATGGCACCAAATAGAATACAAATAGTAATTGAATACTGTTTGAATAGTAAGTAGACCATTTTCAAAACAGCCTTAGAACAGAACATTTTATTTGAAACAAATAGTCACAAACTTTCGACAAAGGCCATTACAGTCAGTTTGAATCTACTCAAAATACCACAATTACGAAAACTAAGGTAATCTCGTATGCAGCAGGAACTAGAATATTCGTAACATTTTGTAATTGTAGGTTCAACTACGGCATTGACTAGCGTTATCAACGTGAGACTTTGTCACCTCACTTTAAATAAAATTGGGACACAAAAACAAAACAATTTACAACCAAACATTGCAGATACAACTAAATATGTAACGGAGCAGATCAACCCGTCATCACAACATGGCCTGCGCACTAAAAGCGGATAACAATGGGCGTTGAAATTTACATCTGCAAGAACAATTTACGCAAACGCAAAACTTGTATCTGTTGCTAGTCGTGAAGCTGCAAGCACTCGTAGTTCCCACCTTTGGTTATTACAAGACGAAGACAGGAGCTGATAAATGCGATACAGCTAAAGTGCAGTAAAAATTGAGCAAGAATGGAGCTTTCAGAAGCGCATTCATTCGACAATCAATATAGTGTAGGTAGTCTTGCAAAAGCTTGGGCTGCGTACAGGTCACATTAGGGATTGAAAGAATGACTTGTAGCTGTTTCGTTGTTTTGGGGTTCTCCCGCCAGTGCCGATTATTAAAAGAATATTTGTTACTTAGAATATGTGCAATTCGATTCGACTTAGGAACCGAATACAGTGCTGTTTGATTCATTATCCAAAATTTTCGAATAATCGAACATCCCTAGCAATTATCCCTGAAAGCTACACATATGAAGTACTAAGGAAAGGTTCATGTGCTACTGCAAGACTTGGGTCACGTTACGTCGCTTCCTTCTTTCCTACTAACTGTGCTTTGCTTTTTTGTTTAGCACAAGAAGGCTTCTGTGGAAGAAGTTGGCTGAGGCCATCAATACGGAGTTCTTGTGCAACGTGACTGCCACACAAGTGGAAAACAAATGGAAGTCGCTGGACAGAGCATATAAAAAGTCAAAAAAAGACAACAATTCTTCAGGTCACCACCGTGTGAACTGTGAATATGAAGAGTAAGTTACGATTGTGTCTTCATATCTTCAGTGATTCTCATAGTGTCTATTACAGAGAGCTGGCAGAAGTCTTGGAAAAAGAACATAGTGTAAATCCAAGGCTGCTCTTGGAGCCTGGAAAAACAATCCTGCCTAGTGCAAGTCCAGAGTAAGTAAAAATTACTTAATTTGTGCTGTAGCCTGGAAATGACATGGCACCTGTACAATTACTTTCAACAGCACCAGCATCACTGAAGCACCTCAAGATGCAGCAGTCCCAGTCGAGTGCAACACAGCATCCAAAGTTCGGAGCAGCACAACGCCAAAAAGGAAGCGCCAGAGTAGGTCCCAAGTCACGCCGCTCTTGGAGGCATTAGAAAAAATGCAAGCTTCGAGAGCTAAGCAAGAGGAGGCAGCAGTGAAACAACTGGAGGAAAGAAAAAAATGGGAAGAGGCAAAGGCAAAGCGGCATGATGAGCGCATGCAGCGATTCGATCGGTTGATCGACGTACTCTCAAATAAGGACGGGTTATAATATGGGCAATAAACTTTTATAACACTAGCAGTGTCTACTCCATCTAATTTGTTAAAAAAAACATTGCTTCTAGACGCGGCACCCCACTTCGCAAAACATTTGCACACTGAATAAATCGCGAAGCAAAGATGAACTACTAGCACTGTTCCTTTGCAATGAACTCTCGCAGAGACTGACTGTAGCTGGCAGACTGGCAATCAAAATCTCCTTCACTTTCATCATTGCCACATCTTTCTTCTGGGGAAGCGTTGCAAGTTCCTCAAGGAAGTCCCTTTCATCGTTGCACATGTGGTGAGGCACACACGCAGCCAGAACTATATAGCAGCACTGTTGCAACCTTTTTTGCATCACACTGGGTAGAGCCTCCTAAAACGCTGTTTAAGCAGGCCAGAAGGTGTTCTCATAAGCCTCGTTGTTGACGTGTCGTTTATTGAAGCTCTTTTTCCACGTAGGAAAAGAACTTCCATTGTCCTTGAATGGGGTCATGACCAGCATCATGGAGATCCCTGGGCGGACCTTGCCGTATGCCACATATAGTTAAATAAATTGTTGGTTGTTTTGACCTGAAGTTTCCCTTGCCTGCTTTAACTATGAACGGCACACAGGAAGTCCAATACCCGCAGATTTAAAGGGCTCTTGTTTGGTCATACTATTTCCCTGTAGCATGAAGGCAAGCCTGGCACTCATTTTCTTTCTTGTCGAGGCAGAAACCAAAAGTAAACTTTCCATGATTTTGTGCACATGTTTATCATGTCTATGAACCCACGCAAGGCGCAACCTCCAACTGAATCCTGTGTTTTATTTGCACAGCATGCGTACTACTTCCCCTAAGCACGCAGAACGAGAGGGTCGTCTTCTGGCGTGGCAATAAAGTGATGCACCGTGGCAAGCTAAGGCGGTCGACATGCAAATGTGCGTGAGCCTTGCAGCGCCACGGTGGCAGTGTACACATGGTTAACTACAAGCCGACAATTTGGTGACAGGACGGAGTAATCCTGCTCCGTAGGTGTTCTCTCTCTCGCTTCATACCACAATGCAACACATTGGTTCCACACGCACTCACGGGAGGCGGCCCATGTACCATCGCCCACACGCTCCCGAGTGTCCTTTTTCAATCCGTGAGTACTGTACTGTATCAAAAGGTGCCAACATTACCGCGTACATGAAATATTAGTGTTGAAGAGAATCGACACCACTGGTGGAAAAGGCTAATCCTCGGCTAACGAACTCATGAGTCGACTCCCTCGGACTCAGATCGAGCCACGAGTCTGAGTGAATTCGGAAGAGTAATTACTTGTGTGAGTTTGAGTCTAAGTGAGTCCAGTTGAAGAAAAATTTCGTGAGAGTGAGTCCTAGTGAGTTTGGCTCAAGAAAGTTTTGGTGAGTCTCGAGTGAGTTTTACTTTTTCTGCCGACTTATGCTTGTAACATATTTTTATTGTGCTTGTTAAATTCGCGCTTTCGCAGCCGACAAAAACAATATTTATGGCAATAAAGGAAAAAAAAAGTTCGTGGCAGTGCTACTCACCGCAAGCTGAATCTTCCTCTGAAGTTCCTTTTCCTCTTGGGCTGCACGCGCTTCATCCTTGCGTACACGGTCAATATTTCGCTTGGTGCGAACATGCCAGCTGTAGAGTTACATGTAAACAAAAAAGCAGCACTTTTTAGCAGAATAACACTCTCACTTTTTGCCCCATTCAACCAGATCTTCGAAATCAACCTCTCCATCTATAGAATACGAGTATGAGCTGTCCATCCTAGCCAGGTAGGACCAGTGCCCCTTTCAAAGAAGCAGGTATTGGCAATACGTAAACATCGATTGGAGGCTACAGTTTTCAAAATGGACTACCTAAAAGACGAATTGACACTAAACGAAATTGATATTCTGTTAGTGTTGCAACAATTCACAACAAAAACAAAGCTTCTTTTACTACAATACTTTTATTTTTCTAGCAGCTTCAATCATATACACCTTATTTTTCTCGAACTAATGCTGCCTAGTAGCCCCTGACGTACAAATGAACTTACAGGTAATTTGAACGGCGTAATAGGCAATCTAACAAAGACTGCAAAGCAACTATTTTATCTGAATACGACGTACCTTTTTTTGGGCAAGATATTCATTTTGTCACACGGCTGTAAAACAATGCAGAGCTACAAGCGCTACAAGCTCATTTCTGTCATGTGTCAGCGCTCGTGTCCTTCTTGTCTCTGTGTCATCGTTTTGTTCTCGCGCTATAGGTCCGTTCGATTCGCCTGCACCACGTGAACCAGTTCACGAGGTGCTGCACCTTGCCATTCGTTTCAGCGGTGCAGCAGTGACGATCGCTGAACCCTGCCATTTGTTTCGAAAGGTGCAGAAGAGGTGCAGCACCGGTTCACGATTTTCCTGCACCTTCTTCGCTGACGTTGCCCGGCTTGGTGCAGGCGCGCGTGCAGCTGAGCAGACGACGCAGCACTTAGACGTAGGTGGCTTAGACGCCGTACCCGCCTCTACAAATGTGGTGTGTTTTGCCAAGATGTTCGCGCCTCATAAACTGTCCGCATGTGCGTTTCGCCATAGGTCAGTGTTTGCTGAACGGTGTAAATTAACCGAAAAGAAATAAGGCCAACACCTGGTCGGCACATCGTCATTTGTTTCGGGTGTCGTGCTGTGCCTACACCGCTGAACTCACGCTGCACAATTTCTGAGCTTCGCGTGCACAGTCATGAACCGGTTCCGACCGGTACAGGTGAATCGAACGGACCTTATAACTATCGTCATGCCATACCACGGTGTGCCATACCAACTAGCCCAAGCTGCCACACTTTTATGATAATCAACATCATATTTGCACAAGCCTTTGGCTTGGCTTTGCCTTGACTCGATGTAAATAATGTAAAGTACTTTCACGCAAATTTTAAATAAAAATTATTATTTCTGAAAACTATGCTAACAAACTCCACTAATAATTAGGTCAATTATTGTTTAGTTATGTTATATTTTTATTTGTTGTCTTTTAACGTTTACAGCTTTCTCTAAAGTTAGCGCAAATCGAACTGTGCAACGCGCCATTTTGAAAGCAGACCGGCACTCGGGTAAAGCGTAAACAAAACGTTAGTCTTGGTAGCTTCGGTGGATTCGTAATCCATCGCAATCATGAAGTTAGTCAGGTAATGGGGATTTGGTATTGTGGGTTACATAACGTGTGAATAACCATTGATAGTTATGTTGTTAGTTTAATTTTTTACGCCATTAGTATCTCGGAAGATGTCATCGCAACTTTCGGTGTCACTATCGAAGATAGAACTATTCAGGTTTTGTTTATTGGTTCGCTTTTGGCAGATATTATTGCACATGACAGCTTATGTAACTCGTGCAGTGTTTGACAGTTGGTGCTGATATTCTTTGGAATGACGCCTCTCACACTCTGCAGATTTCTGATGAAACTAAGTCACGAAACAGTGACGATAGAGCTGAAGAATGGTACTCAAGTCCACGGCACAATAACTGGTGTGTATGATCCCTTTTTTTTTATGGTCGGCTGTGCAGTTGCCCGTATTATGCTTGTTGCTACTATTCTTTCGCCCGTTGAACTAAAGTGTTCATCGTGTTCAAACTTTGCAGAAAGAGTCGTCGAATGCTTTGCTGATATAGGATTGCTTTTTTCATTTTTTATTTGAGCGATTCTTATTTGGCGTTGTAGTAGGAACTGCCGTTACTCTGTGTGGTTTTAGTGATCTTTATTCATATCCAGTAGTTTGGCAGCTTCAAATGAACTCCTTAAAATGTGTACTGAAAAAGATTTAGCTATTGCACTGATGGTTTACTAAATGTAGGTGTCAGCTAGCACTTAGTTTGGCTCTATATTTCTGCTTTCTTGATCGCTTTATGCAGAATGTATGGGTCTTCTTGCTTTTACTCCCGAACAGTTGCTTACATGTTAATTTGGCTGCTTCATGTAGCCAAATGGACATGTAATTGGGAAAGGTAAGATAGCAAATGTTGTGCTCATTGTGGATGGGCAGAGCTTTATCACGGTTATGTGTAAGTAGTACCTGTGTGTGTGTGTGTGTGTGTGTGTTTTGGGGGGGTGCACCTGTGTGTGAAAAATGATGACATATTTAATGCATCTGCTGATGACAGCATAGAGGTTTCATTAATAATTTCACTGGTATGTGGCCTTTATTCCACTGTTAGTGAAAACACGTGAGATCGTGGCTAACGGGCCGCTTAGCGCTAACTCGCGCGAAGATTTGCAAATTTGGAGCATGCGCATAGAATCGTAATGGTGGAGCCCGCTCAGTTTCGTCTGCTACTTCGCCTGTGTGCATGAAAGCGTTGGAAGGCACTTCGAGGTTTTTGAGATGCAACTTATCTAGCTGTCACTCTGCATGCTGGTCTTTGGAGTTCCAGCAAGCACAAAAATGTACGGTTTTATTTTTGCTGCAGTTTTTCTCAAGCTATCACCATTCAGTCCATCATATTTTTTCACGTACTGCTCACTGCTACTAGTGGCTTTTGACAACTTATAAGGCTGTTGAAGTGTTATGCAGTGAACATTCTAAGCTCACATTTGTCATCATGAAATATCGGCTTATTTAAGAAGCCGAAAGCCAAGTTGGTGTCAGTTGATTTACAGTGTGAAAACGAAGGGTCATCGCTTGCTAGCACACGCCAAGTGCATAGGCGGAGAAGTAGCAGACGACATGGGACATGCACCACCTTGATGAGCGAATGCGCATGCACCGCATTTCGAAATCTCGCCAGCAGTTGGCGTGATGCGGACCGCCAGCCACGCGCTTGCGTGTTCCCTTTAACAGTGGGATCTCATGGTCGGTAGTGCACGTTCAAGAAAATGTGCTGATTCAGTCAGTGCAGAGTCTAAAGTGACACATGTGTTTCCTAGTGGTTCTTAATATCAAGTTGGGCATTTTGGGAGTTTACTGTATCAGTCGTTCCTGCTTCTCAGCGAATAACCTCAAAGGGACACTTAAACGCTTTAAAAAAAAAAAACAAGTTTATGGTGTCATGATACGTAATTTCGTGCGGGGAACTCGAAAATCAATGCAGGATGGTCTCTATTACACCATCCTGCACCATCCACGTTAGTGACGTGAAACAAGCAGTCTCACCTCAAGGGCGAAGCAGGGAATGCTGTAGCGACAAATTCTGTGGTTATACAAAGTAAGGCTATCGGCTAGCGCTTTCGTATCTAATCTCATAACTTTTCAAAATGCTTGGCGTGCATGGGAATACAGCGGCTCCATAGAGCGAAGCAGTTTTGGTACTCTGTAATCTCAACATGAAGTAAGCAGCCCGTTTGCTGATGTCTGCCAAGATTGCATGCGTGTTGGAGCCAACGACTCTGCCCCTATGGTCAAAGTTAAGTTGCTGTTTTAATGACGCAGCCTCCCCCACGCTTCGCTCAGTGATAGACGCACAGGCTGCGCCTTTCCTGTCTGCTTGAGGTGCCATCAGTAGTATGCCTCTCACACGGGGCGATGTTACCGCATGCACCTTTCACGCAACGGAAATGGCCGGCTCGTTTTATTTCTGCCTCAGCCGCGTTTGTCACAAGTGCTTGCGCACACGTGCTTGAAAATTCGCACGCTTTCACGGGACATGCCACATGCCTTAAAGGGCCCGTAAACGACCCAGAGGTCGAAACCTTGTTTTGGTGTGCAAATTGTGCAGGAGTGTACGACAAACACGGAGCCATGGGAATTTTTCGAAACTGTGCAGTAATAGCGGAGTTAGACGCATTTGATTATCGAAATCGTGATGACCAGACCTTTCACTCTCTCCTGCGATTCCTCCGCTGGTATCCTCTCCCACGCAGCTTTGCCCTCTCGCCAAGCGCCCCTGACATGCCCCTCCCAATCTCGCGTGGCATACGTCACCGCTGATGCGCTGTTTGAAATTCCATCTACTTCCGGTTTCCGCGACACTGGCCGTCGGCTTCATCTCGTTGTAGCTGCGTGCCTGTTGGTGAACCGTGGCTGCTGTACTCATGCCGGTATGGACCCTGCATTGCGCGCACGCCTTCAAAGGATCGCCAAAGCGATAGACCCATAGGGGGACACGTCATGCCCTGCACGTGTTGCACACACCTGGGCAACACGACGAACAACAACAAGCAGCGTGGGCAGCTGCTTGCAGACTGACCGGAAGTCGTAGGCTCTTGCTCAACTAATCACAGCATATTTGGCATAGTTGGCTCGGCACGTCAGAAATGTGGCACGGCACATCGCGCGAAGGTCCGAAAGGCCCGGAAAAAAGAAGGGATTGTTTCTTGGAATTTGTGGTGCCCCGACAGCTCCTAGCGCTGCCACGTGTAGAATCGTTGATCGCGACAGCATTGTGCACACGATGCGCACGTTTACTTGATATGCTTGAACAAATATTGGAGGTGATTTAAAGGCCCTTTAAAGAGCCAATGTAGGGCAATGTCTGAAGTTTTGAAAGCTACAAGTCTCAGCTTTATATTCAAATTGCATGTCCAGAAATGCATTAACAATGTCACCGCCACCCCCGCACTCTGGCATATTTCGAAAGCTCTTTGCCGCAATGCTACAACACTTTGCCGCAATGCTACAAGCATACCGCCAATCCGAAGGGGCACTGAGGGACGTTTGGGTTGTTGGCGGAGCTTCAGTAGCTTGATCTTTTTTTTTCAAGGATTTCGATCACCTTTCGGGTAAGACACCCAACAGTCAGGATTCATTCTTGTAAGCGATATTGTGGCGTGCTTGGCATAGCTCTAAGTGGGTAATTTCGCCATATAAAACATACAGAACTTGATGGTGCAGTTGTTAAAATCTGTATAAGTGGATTCGATGTGTGTGTGGGGGGGGGGGGGTTGCTTCATTAGCATTAAATATTTACTAAAAACCATTGTAACCTCGCAGTTCCCAGAAGAAATAAAAGACGCGAGGCCTGCGCAGAATGCACAGTCACAGCGAAAGCTGGAAGAGCGGCATTTCAGAGCCTTTTCTAAACAGTCTTTGGCGAACTGGTACAAGCACACTTGCTGGGTACCTACAATGCCATAAATAATCATAATTTTTGTGTAGTATGCCAGCATCCTTGTGCTTAGATTTAGGTGCGTGTTAAAGAACGCCAAGTTGTTGAAATTTCCGGAGCCGTCCACTACGGCGTCTCTCATGATCATATGGTGGTTTTGGGACGTTGAACCTCACATATAAATCAATTAATGTTGTTTAGCTTATTAAGCTGCTCCAAAGCACACCAGGTTGCTTCCATAGCTGTGTACAGTACACGGTGTGCTAGATTACTCTTATTGTGTTATTTTACGTTTACTGTGGATCATAGATGACTGATCATAGAAGTTTTTCCTCATAACACATAATTTGATTCGCAGGTGTTGACGTGGCCATGAACACTCACCTTAAAGCTGTCAAGCTGACGATGAAACACCGTGAACCAGTGCAGCTTGATAGTTTGAGCGTCCGAGGCAACAACATTCGATATTACCTCTTGCCCGACAGTCTGCCATTGGAAACACTCCTCATTGATGACACACCCAAAGCCAAAGCCAAGAAGAAGGAGGCTGGTAACGCTGTTTTGTAAGATAATTGGGAAAAAATTTTTGTGGCAAATACTGTATTTACTCGCGTAATAGACCCACCTTTTTTTCAGAAAAGTTGACGTCAATTGGGGGGGGGGGGGGGGTAGTCACAGAAGTTAAAACAGCAAACATTTTGCATGACGGTTTTGCTTGTTTTGGTCCACGAAATGTGCAACGAATCTTTTTGTAGCTCGAAGGTCTTGTGTTCTCTTGCAATGAACACGCGCGGATCGACGCTGAAGTGTCGTCCAACCACTCGGTTTCCATGCTCCAGCGTATGCTCAACCAACTTTAAGTTTAAAACCAGCCGTGTAGCTAGTGTACCAGCCGAATGCGCCCTGCAGCAGCAGGTGTCCTCAACCAAGTTTACTACTACAAACCTGACAACAAAAACGCAGTGCCGAATGGCGGTGCACAGTTGTCGCGGGAGACATGTCGATAGAGTAGACGCTTTGCGTGGCCTCTCAGGTGACGGGTGCGTGGCGTGTTTCAACGCTGCGCTCTTGCCATCTCGGAGACCATGCGTTTGTTTTTTTGCTTTGTTCTTGTGCTGCTGTGCTTCCGTGACACTATAAGCAAAGAAACTTTTCCTGCATTCGACAGATGGCGCTCTGTCGCGAAAGGTGCGACTTTTAAATTTTGATTGACGTCGTCTGCGTTCATGCTGTTTGCAACTGTTTAGCATGGTTGCGAAACTATATGTTCTGACTTTTAGTTATTTTTGATACAATTGCTTGGTTTAACATTGTTTTGATCGTCAACTTCACTGGGTATCACACCAAAATAAAATGAAAGAATACATTAAAAAAACTTTTTCTTTTTTTCAAGGACCGGGGGGGTTATATGCGAGTGGGTTTATTACACGAGTAAATACGGTAGCTTAATCTTTTTCAGAATGAAATTCTACTTATGCTTTCAGTCTCAAAGGTTGACAAGTAGAGCAAGAAAGATTCGTGAGCATTTGGGCATGCCAACTTAAAAGACTCCCGATACCAAATTTGGAAACTCGAGATGCTAGTGTTGTTTGATGGTCCTGCATGTGCGGCCACCTCTGACCGATTATTAGTGGCGAGCATAGCCTAGACGGTATTTTAATTTGGTTTTAAAGTAAGGGTGTGTGCTCTTCGGAGTATTCAGGTGCAATCGGCATTTTCTGTGGTTTGACGTAGACTGGGACTCCCCCTTGTGACGTTGCAGGGTCAACATTTGCGGGGCACGCACAATACCCTGCGAAGACTGTTGTTCCTCACTCCTCTTGCTCTGTTGTCGGGCTGCTCTCAAGGTGGTTTTGGCTGCTTAGGCGAGAAATGCTTTTTTTTTTTTGAGGGGGACACGTTCAAAGCACCCACATTGTTTCATTGTTCACCGCACGCGGGTCTCAGGTGCTGCTTCGCTGTAGGGCACTAGTTTCTTACGATATTTAGGTGGGCGTTTCAAGCTGACCCAAGATGTTCTGAATTAACGCCACTAACATTAATTCCACAATGCGTTAAAGCATTTATGATATAATATCTGCATTACCAGACGCAAAGCTACAAATTGCTGTCAAAAAACTCGCAAACAAAACTTTCGCTGTCAGGGGTCTTTTGAGTTATAAGTCTGGGGTGTTTCACATACGAGCAAAACTAGTTACCCATTACTCAAATTTTCGCGTCCTAGGCACTACAGTGCACCCTCCCATGATCATGGGGTGCTTGCTGCCTGCCGCAGAAAGGCATTTATAAATGTCACTGTTCCATAATTGTCATGCCTGTTCAATGTTATTTGGCATATGTGATCGAGTGGTGCACGCTCCAATCTCAAAAGGCTATGTTGTCACATCATTACAACACCTGCTAGACAGTCATTTGTTTGCGAAGTTCACGGTACCTTGATGCGTTATTCATGTGACTGCAGCAGCTTGCCCATGTAACAGTACTTCAAATTATCATGAAACATAATACTGCAAGTTTTATTCTGCCTGAGGAACTAGCTTTTTCATAGTAGCATAATGGCAACTACAATGATCAACCCAATAATGCCACCATTGACACTGCCCTACAAGCTATCTCAGAAACAAGTAAATGAGTAGATTTGCCGCGTGACTTTCTGGAAGAATTTTGCTTTGAATATTCCTAAAGAGATCTATGCTAAAACAGAGTGTAGCATGGACTAACTTTATAAGGCAACGATTATGTGATATAGCAAGACGGGATTTCGAGCTAATTTGTCAACATTTCGTCCGGGTATAGTTGCATGCAGGGGTGCAACAGATGCGCCAATTTGATACAATGCTTCATTGTTGCGCCTAGGCGTGCCAAAACCATGAAAGTTGCTAAAATTGCGCCAAAATGCCCGACAAGCCTCGAAATTTTTCAGTAGAGCTAATTTCAGTGAGAAATGCAGGCCACATTGGCCACTGGCACTTTGCGTCATCAATCAAACCAAGCGCACAGACCCTAACTCTAAACCACGGTGCAAGGTATATACTAGTTAGGTGAGGACACTCGCGAGCTGCGGTCGACCAGATAAATTGTAAGATGAAGTAAAAACGACGAGACGAAATTTCAAGCAAAAAAAAAAAAGTTTTGCCATAGCCATCACTGCTTTGCGGGAAATATGAATTTCCTAACATCAAACGTGGTAATGGCATGTTAGAAACGCATGCCGCGTTTTCCCCGTGTGAACAAGGTCAACAAGATGCAAACTTCATTGTTGCCAGTCACCAGGTTGGCTGCCATAGCAAGATGGTTCAGCGAATTGGGAGCGCGGGGGTAAACACAGACACAAAGCAAAGAGGAGGCACACACCACAAGCGCTCAACTAACAAGTTGCTTTGTGTCTGTGTTTACCCCCGCGCTCCCAGTTCGCTGAACCATCATGAATTACTAACTAGCCCACCTTTCCATCCTATTGCCATAGCAAGGACACATAAACAAAGAACATAAACTCTGGCTGGAAATTGCGTCGTTCCGGCTATATATATTCATCGCCGGGCCAAAGGGCCCGCGCCATTGTTACTTTACGGGTTGAACGTGCCTTGCAAGCGAGCAGAGAAGTTGTGCCCTAAACCTAACCCCAACGGGAAAGAAAAAGAAAGGAGTGTGGGCGGGTGTAGCAGTTCGAAAACTGATTGGCCTTGTTCTAACCCGCACAGATCGCTGCCTAAGCCACCTTTGCCACATTACGCCAGTGTCTCACGGAAAAGTGTGTTATAATTTAGAAGGGGCTGTAGCTCTAGTCGCAAACGGTCACGGGACACAGTACATTTTGTCAATTACTAATGCATGTATACGCCACATAATTTTGAATACTGTTATGATTGCTGATGTCTAAAAATGCTACTGGTAATCATTTGGAGCAGCAAATGACATGTCTACTGTCCTAAAAAAAAAAAAACTTGTACGGCGGTTATTTTTTTTTTTTTCGTTCCTATTTTTCGGTTTTACGAATCATCCTAATTTCAAGCTTGGCAGAAACAAATTTGAATTTGCAAACAGTCTGTCGAAGAATTCGACAGATGGTGCATCAAATGTCAATACCACTTTTATTGAAATAGCAGTGCTCATATTCGCTCTGCACGAGTTGGTGGGTTGATTGTTTTTGCATTTAACACGTCGTCTTTTAGGACCATCCACACGGAAAAACAATGCCATGATCGGCGCACACACGTAGCTATCTGAAATTTCTTGAGGCAAGGGAAAAAATTCCCTAAAGCAAAAAATAACCAAAACATCACGTATTTCATTGTGCGTTTCCCACTTTCTTACATACGTGGTGTTAGGTGCCCGCAACCTCTGCGAGCGCGCGAGAATTTAAACTTGAAAATGCATCGTTCAAATTGAACAATTTGAATAGGCACGGTAGCAAAAGTGTTAAATTGTGTGTGCCTTGGCGGTACGTTTTGGTAGGCTGATACGTCTGCCTTTGGAATCTGCCCAGCGATTGCCTCCCTATGAACGGAATAAGTGACCTTTTTCATTTTAGGCGAGTCAAACGAGCCGCATTCATGGAGAGTATTAAGACCTTTACTCTACTAACGATTGGCCCTCCTAGGGCGAAATGTTCACATGTGGTGTAACAGGTTCTTCTAATAACAATCCAGAATGGGAACATATGATGTACAGCAACGAAACGCGTTATTTACGGCCTACCGTCCCGCATAGAAATGTATGTGAAAGCTTTTCTTCTGGGAACAGTGGTAGCGCCAGAGTGTGTGCAAGGTGAACTAGGCCCGTCTCGCCACATTGGCGGCACACAACAGGCCACACCTTGTTTTTTATTCAGCGGCCGTATATGTACTTATGCGCTCTTTCTGTGCAGCCACTATGGGCCGTGGCCGTGGAAGGGGCAGAGGTCGTGGTCGAGGACGAGGTGGTGCCAGGGGTCGAGGACGGCGGTAGAAGACATCATGGCAGCCACGAAGGTAGCTCTTTTTTTTTTTAAGCTACCGTACCACCTGCACGATCTGCAAGCTGTGATTATAAATTAAGCTGTTTGCTTGGGAGGAAGGATAGAACGCGGCAAGCACCGCATGCAGATTTCGGACATTGCGAGCGAGGTGTTTCACTTTCCAGGCGTTTCTTCACAGGCAGACCGGAACTAAGGGGGATAAAAGCTAAGAGAACAAAAAATAGGAGGCAGCATATAAAATTGCGGTCAGCTTTTGCACGGCGAACTTTCTGACGATGTTCTCAGCATCTACAACCGCCGATAATAAACGAACAATTCCTTTGAACGCAAGAAGCCATAAATGTGAGAAGCGATAACTTCTGTTGTTTGGAAGTTCCTACGAGGCTCAATTCTTCGACACCACCAGGTTGTTGGCTTTTCTCTACGGTGCGTTCTACAGACATCTCCATTTCTTGCCTTGCGCTTGGCGCATCTTCTTTAGATCAGCGTCACCAGTCATGCCGGCAAAAAGACGGAAGGTCGTTGCTTCGATTCCATAGCACGAGTGGGAAGCAGATGGACACACGTGCGAGATGGGAGCTAGCAGCCGACAAACAACGACCAAGAAAAAAAAAACGCGGCCTCTTCGGCCGCATCAGCCAATGGGAAGAGAAAGACTGGGGGGATCGCCTTGGGCGCATGTGCTCCGGCCGGTGAGTGATCGGGAAGGGGGCTTCAGAAAAGGAGCGAGGGCAGTCGTTCCTTTCATGTAACACCATTTTGAGGGGTGGCAAAATGCGCACAAAGAAATCAGCTTCAAAATGAGCTCAAGAGGGCGGCGATCGCCCGACTGCTTTGCCAGCAGCACGCGCGCGAAGTTCGAACACATTGTACGGTAATTAAATTGACTTATGGGTTGCTGCACAATCGGGTCACTTGATTACACCTCTTGGTCTTGGTAGCGCTGAACAGTAGTGGTGGGATGGAGTTTAGTAAAATAGTTGCACACTAAACAGCTGTGGCTTAGTTTGCAGCTGAGAACTTCAATTTAACTTAAGGAAAGATGTGGGTCTCAATTTTTCTTTAAGTTGAGTGTCTGGCATGAAAGTTAATACACTTGTACAGTTTTATCCACAGAATTGAAATCTTTGCCTGTTTTAATAGCTGTATTAGAACAAAAGGTATGCTATTTCTAACACATAATTAAGGATACGTGTAATGGGCATTTCTGGCAACTTTGCTTTGTCAAACACAGCAACAGAGTATGTGGCATGATTGCCAGGAAGCTGGTTTAGTGGGTGAAGGTATTTAGTTTCTTGTATTGTTCACCAAATCATAGTTCTCGATTAGAAATAGTATGCAGCGAAATAATTTCACTAATATTTGTAGCTTTATCTTTTGCATTCAAAATTCATTGAAAAATACTCAGATTAGCATCACCGACTAGACCAGCTCTCTGGCTGTTTTTCCAAGTATTTTGTTTTTGTGTTTGACAAAGCAGTTACCAAAAAATCCCTATAAGAAAGATGCTTTTAGAAATCGTGCATCTTTTATTGTAACAAAGCTATGAAAAATCCAATTAGAAATTTGCAATCTACAGAAAAAAGTGATCAACTTGTTAAACTTGATTCAGTTCACTCAACTAAAAAAAGGCTCTCGTCTCCTCTAAGGAGTCTTGCCTGTGCTCATATTAGTGTGACTTTAAGGGGTTTTTTTTTAAATATTTTTTTACTTTGTGTGAGCCGAGTTATTTGCAGGTGACAAATTTATTGATCGTGTGCTCATGCACTCTTCTGCATGTGCAGACACCATTTTATTTTTATTTCCATTTTGTCATGCAGGATTTTTTTTCTTTTCAAATACCTGAAAACTTTTAAAAATTATAATGTACATTTTTGCTTTTACACTTGAAGCAAGGCAACCTATCTTCTGTAAGTAAAAAAATATACATATTCTTAAGTCAAGAAAGAACATCCTCAAGTTTTTCCTCCACTTAAAGAGAATTTACTGTTTGGCAAGTATTTCTGCCACAGAAATATAATCATCATCTGGTTTGTTCGCTTTTTCTTTAAAAACCCGGATCTCGCCACTTTCTTATCAAGAATATGCTACATCACATTTATAGCGCACACCGTTTGTGATGAAGAAGTGCCGGGATTGCTGTGGTACTGCAAGTAGGTGAGGTAGATTCACTCTAAGAAAAAAGTTTAGTTTTTGGGCAGTATTTCTGCCGCACAACTATAATTGCCAGTTCACCGCATTTGCGGGGGTTACAGTGCTCAGCTGCGGACTCGAAAGGCACTGGTTAACATTTCGATAAAGGGGGAATGTTAGAAGTTGTGACATGTGTGCCACCAGGCATACACGTCACTTCTCTTCACCATCTTCTTCATAACAAGGCTGGCACGCACGTTACAAGGGGCGAGAGGAGATTTTTCAAGAAAGGAAATGCGTGCTAGCGAGGTGACGATCCCATTTGTGAGGCACAAATTCTCCCCTAGTACTCAATTTGTTCTTGAAGTGTAGAGTGTATGGAAAATATGAGTATTTGGGGAGTATTTCTATATCGTGTGCTCTCGAGGTAAAAAAAAAAAGGAAACGATGAGAGGGGACATAAAGCGATTAACGGCTCGAACTCTTTGTTGTGTGAAAGTTCCCTGCGAGGCTCACCTCTTCGACACCACCACGGAGTCGGCTTTCTTCTACGGTGTGTTCCACGGACACCTTTGTTCTCGCTGCGCGCTTGGCGCGTCTTCTTTAGACGAGCGCCACCAGTCATGCCGGCAAAAAGACGGAAATTCATTGCGTCGATCGTGTAGCATGAGCGGGAAGCAGATGGAGACACATGCGAGACGGGAGCTATTGGCCGACAAACAACAACCAGGGAAAAAAAAATTGCAGCCTCATTGGCCGCATCAGCCAATGGGAAGCGAGAGACGGGGAGGCTCGCCTAGTGCGCATGCGCTCCGGCCAATGAGTGATAGGGAAGGCAGCTTCAGAAAAGGGGCGAGGGCAGTTGTTCCTTTTATGTGACATCATTTTGAAGGGTGGCGAAATGCGCACAAAGAAATCAGCTTCAAAACGAGCTCAAGATGGCGGCGATTGGCTGGCTGCTTCGCCAGCTGCACACGCGCGAAGTTTGAACAAATTTTACATTTCGCAACTCCCGTAGTGACTTTATAACAAATTTTAACCCATTTATTAATCGAATTTTGTGTTTACAATTTCAGAACACGTGGGTATAGGATGAAAAATTCGAAACATCGACCTTTTGGTCGTTTATCACCATTCTAGGGCCCACGTAACAACTTCCCCACGATCGTGGCGATGCCTTAACGACTAAGCATAAAAAAGAGCGATAGCGAGGTGGCTAGTGGCAATGAACGTGCCATTTCGACTCACTGCCAGTGAGCTTATCACAGTCAGCGGGTGGCGGTGGGACAAGCACGTCGTGGTGCCGTTCTCAAGTTCGCCGCATCGTGAAAGGCCGCTTGCGCACGTTGCTCGCAAGAACCTGACAGGCTACCCGCTGCACCCTAGCACGATCCTGAGTGAAACATGCGCGAAGAACGCAAAATCACGCATACATTGGACTGCAGGCGAACTGGCATGCGACAGTGAGAGTAGCTAGGGTAAGCGACATACTGCACGCAACTAGCCAGGGATGACTGGTTCGACGTCAGTGGATCCTAATTCAGTGGAACGGCGAGAGTTCATTGCGAACGGGTGTTAGTTAACACGCGAAAAAAGCTTAACTTGTCAGCGGGGGGCGGGGGGAGGGGTGTGTTCACACTTTATTAATAAGAAATACACACATAAAAAACGTTTTGGCCACAATATGGCCGTTGATGGGCGACTCCATACACAACGAACTACTGGTATAACGACCATTTATTGCAGCATTTCGAGTTCGTTATAAACGGGTTCGACTGTACCAGCAAAGCGTGGAATAAGTTGCGGATTCGTTGCATGGGGCATTGCAAATGATGACGCAGGACATAAAGGATGTGGCAGAATACAGAAATACTTGTCCGAACCTCCGCGATGTGTGTGTGCACTTTGAAGATGTGCACAAAAATCTCCGGCGACACATCACTTGCTGCCACACGAGACCAATCGTTCCTAGTTGTGTGCAGCACATCGCCTACACAGCTGATGTCGTTACGACCGGGGCGCTTTCGTACGCAGGTGTTTGTCATAAAAAGTGTTCTTGATGCCCACTAATTTCCTGATCGCACACGGGCGGGGCGATGGCGAGCTGCTTTCATTCATGAAGACACTGCGTCTGTTCGGTGCACTTAGCCGATTTGCACAGAAAGGCGTGCATGAGTGATTAAAAGTGCACAGTATGCCGACAACTGCGCCACATCCAGTAACAAGCAGTTAGCTGCAAATGCTTATCATAAAGCTGATTAAGTCTCACTGGCGTGTTTGCTGCATTGCGGCTATCATGCCTCCGAGCATTTCCGGTGGTTATCTATTAGACATCACTTCAATGCGCGACAGTGTTGCGGAGTTGCCACTCCAGAATTGGAATGATTCCAGAATCATTCTACATTTTTGCGACCCCGGAATGAAATGGGGTCATTGCTTGGAGGAATGGAATTGGAATGGAATTAAGCGCTTTTTGCCTGGAATGAAATTGCGTCTTTTACCGAAAAATAGAGCACGTGTCCGTCTACGTGCTGTTGGTCAAACTTCAAACATTCGTAAATCAGAGCCGCAAATTTAATAAAGCAGCATTTTTGAAATTGCTTGGCTGATTAGAAGCACAATGCATTTATAAGCAACATGTCTACTACAAGTTTGTCCTTATATTGACTGTGCTCTTCTGAAGCTTGCCTCTATTTTGCGATGCAATTTCATGTTGTGAGTGACCCGGTTAATTGCCTTAGCAGTGGCATATAAAACATTTATTTTTGTCTTTAAGTTGCATCGTCCCTGCCACGTTCCTCGCGATCACGATGTAGGAATATTTAGGTGTTGACACTGCGCGGGGCGGCGCGGCCAGATCTTGTTCGGCAAACCATGCGCTTCGCTCGAACGCCGGAAGACGGCGCGGCGCCATAAAGGCCTTTCTGGTCGGAACGTTGCGGCTGCCGAAGTGCAGATGTTGCGGGATCGTTTGATGTTGCGCCGGGTAAGTTAAGTTTTTTTTAATTGCAGCAAGGCACATGATGATTGAAACTGCTGTCGACACCAAATCATTTTCGGTTACTGCCATTTTTACTTGCTGAAACTGGCGTTCCAGTTTCAGCAAGTAAAAAAAAAAATGTCCCTGGCGTTCTTCTTGTCAAGCTCGTCGTTTGCACGGATATCGGCGCTGCTGATCGGTTGTTTATCTATAATATGCCCGCGCAGATATCATATACTTACGCGACTGTACATTGGGATTGGCAGATGTCAGTTGAGAATAATTGAAGTCGGCCTGGTAAAGCAGCTTGGTGGGCCACAAAATTCCCCACTGAACATTGTAGGGTGGGGCAAATTATACAACTTTTACCAACATATTATGTGGAACAAAACGTATAGCGGGTGGAAACTGGATCTGAGATGGCAGACTAAAACTAATTGCGCTGCTGCCTTGACGTACGGCAACTAGTGTGTTTGTTAATAGTGTGTTTCTGCTTCTTTAGACCGCATCGGTCACCTAAATTATTTCTGAATAAATTTTGAACTTAGGCTAGTTGGTTCTTCTGCACATTTTGAGGGAAAACCACGCGTAGACGAGGACAATGGAAGGAAAACACTAGAAGTTGTTTTTGTGTTTTTCTTTCTTCGTCCTTGTCTATGAGCAGCTTTTCATCAAAATGTGCAGGGGCTCTTTTGTGGATTTTGTGACTATCAGACTCTTGATCCCAAGATGTTTTACTGATCAGGGAGCTGAACTGGGGCACACAAGGGTAACACCGACCGCACCATCAGCGAAAGAATGCAAAAGCTGACCATGTCCCGTGTAATGTGCAGGATCTCATGTGGTCCTTCAGGGTGTGGAACAAAATTTTTAGATAATGGAACAACAACGTTCAGTACAAAAACAAGAAATTGTATTTTTGTTCCACTGAAGCCAAAATAGCCAGTTGGTGTAACAGATACATTTATCACCATAAGTCACCTTCCTCAGCGACTAGAGAAAACATAACACACAATGTAATGCAAGTTCAAGAGACAAGAGTACACACATTGCCCCGCAAGTCTTAACAAAATGTACAAGTCACCTTTCTTGGCGACAGTGGTTGGTGCGGGCCGCTTGCTTGGCTGCTGGGCACACGAGTCTGCAAACTTTCGTTTTCTAGGCGGCTTTCTTGAAGTTGTCTGCTTTGTTAGATATTTGGGGCATCCCGGAAAAATGCTTGGTACAGCATTCGCCGATAGCACCGGTCTCTTTTTGGGTACATTTAAAAGCACCTGGCCATCGAACTCAGGGTAGTACGATTTTGATATCTCCTGCTCAGGAAAATGCTTCGCACAGATGCAGTGGCTCGGTTGCAATATTCTATCTGCTCTAGGTATGGCCCAGCGCCAAAGTTCAAGGCAAGCAGGCTTCGATGGAGCTTTGAAAAAGCGGCACATGATCAACGCGCCTTTGGTAGCCCGATCTGCAGTTGGGTACGAAGCACTTCTTACCCATTACTGCGTCCTAGTCGACCTCTGAGCCAGGCTAGATTTCGCAAGTGTGCCACTTCAACACCGTGCACTGCAACAACAAACACATCACAGCCACCAAGCACACAAGCCGCGACATCCATGCACTGCGTCGGCCCGCTCCACCACGTGAGCTTGCATAACGATCATTGCGGCTGGTCCCAAACGACGACACAAAAAGGCTACGCACGGCGTTGGCCGCCCAGCTGAAACATAAACGTCTAGTCCTTGTTGTACACCCTGCAGTAGAAAACACCGAAAAGCAGCTTTAACGACACGGAAAGGCAAGCACAGCTCGTAACCACCGTAGCAGCGCACACCACTCCGCAAGTGATTGCTGCCCCTTATTCGCAGCACCCCGCGCTGCTGCGGACAGCGCTTGTACTAAAAAGGGCGAACAAGATCTGGCCGCGTTCTTCGCCGCGGCGCCCGGTCTGTGTCAACACCTAAATATTCCTACACCGTGCTCGCGATAGATATACGGTACAGTCGCCGGGCCAACGAGCGCGCGCTGTTGTTACTTTACCTAGTCGAACGAGCCTTGCAAGGGAGCCGAAGGAGCACCTAACCCCATGGTGAAAAAAAAAAGGGGGGGGGGGGGTTGAGTTGGGTGGTGGGTAGTGGTGAGAAAATTACTTGGCTTTGGTTCTAATGCTGCTTGAGGTATCTTTGCCGCAGTACACCGGTGCCCTGCGAAAAGCATATTGAGATTTAGAAGTGGCTGTCAGTTATAGTGGGACACTGAACAGCTTGCTAAGTTACTGGTGCATTTGTACGCCGCACGATTCTGAGTGCCATTATAATTACTGATGTCTAAATGAGCTACTGGCAATCATTTGAAGCAGTGTATGACATTATTGCTTTGCTAAAATACAATCTAAATTGTGGGCCAATTGTTTTTTCACCACCCCTGCTCCTCTGTTTTCTCCCAGATTTTAAAGTCGCGAGCTTGCCAGATTGATATTTATATTTGCAGAGTCTGTCAAATGATTTGACTGGTGCAGCAAAAGCTAATATGGACTTTATCATTGTTTGCTCAGCGGGGTGGTCCAAAATACTGATTTCATTGAAATGGCAGTGCTGGTGTTCACACTGCATTATTTAGATGATGTTGAGTGGTTTATACCAATTTTTTTTTATGAATGTAAGCCTTGTTTTTACTCTGCCCCAAATTCAGTATTTAATGATAAAAAATGCATTTTGTTTCGTAACCTGCTCCCAATTTGGAATTTAGTGCTTCAAAAGTAACATTTTGCTGCTTCTAAAATTGCTCCAACTGGTATTTCGGCTGTTGCACCCGTGCAAGCTTTGGCAGCATCGCGAAGGTGGTCAATGACCACGAGCCATCTCCGATGCTCTGGCCAGGCATGGAGGGCGCCAAGCGAGTCGATGGTTGAAACCGATTTGGAGGCATTGTCTTGAAAGCTGCAGAACACCAGCACTGCCCAAACAGCCGACGAAAGCAAAGCGGCAGGCAAGCACCCGAAGTTCGACGATGCCAAACAGTCGAGCTGCTGCGATAGTTGCGTGAGCACACACAAGTGTACCGCGCCGTTGTCGTTGACAGAAAGAGATGAGCACAAAACACTATGCACAAAAGTAAGGTGATGCGCCGGCACAAGATAGACGACTTGCAGCTTTTCATGAAAACACATGGGCATGGCGCGCTGCCTAATATTGTCACTCCCATGAGAAGGGTAGTTCCGGTCTGACATAGTAAAATGGCCACGCTTTGCGCACACCTTGCATGATTAGTTTTGTTTTCGCCTGTCAATTTCGATCATAAATATATTTAACTACGTGAAACTTCAGCACATTTTAAAAATAGGCACGCCCTCCCTAAACTGGCACGCACTACAACTTAGTAATATGAACACAAGTGAATTAGTATAAGGTTAACAAATTTCTGTTAATTAGTTGCAACAGTGTCATGCTAACTATAGCAAAGTATTTTTGCCTCAGCTCGTGTGCGAAAATGATAGGAGCATAAGATTTTTATTCAAAAGAATCTGTATACATCCTTTATATGTTGAGCAAACGTAACTTGACCCCTCACTTCCATACATTAGTACTTATTCGAAAAAGCTTTTTGTTGAATTTGAGTAAATGTAGTCATAGTCAATTTTAATTTAAGTGTAAGCTTCTTTTTCTCCTTCCAGGTGGCCAACCAGACGACATTGGAAGATTGCAGCATCAGTTATGGGGGCTTTTTGGGAAGTCATTACAATTTCCAAAAGCCAACAAAATTTTTCTCTCTCTCTCTCATTACACTAGCTTCATCAGTAGTGTTTTGTTACTTCAACCATTATTCATGTCAACTTTATCTCTCATTACACTAGCCTCATCAGTAGTGTTCTATTAGTTCAAGCATCATGTCAACTTTTGCCGTTACCCCCTACTATCAAATGTTGACATAGTGACTTTAGGAATCAATTGTACATTCACAGAAATCGAACCACAAAATAAACTGATTTCCTTAGTATGTATGTGTGTGTACAGACACACAAACACACACACACATGCATATATATATATATATATATATATATAATCTGTCCATTTTTGTTCAGTTTTTCTTTATAAGCTACAAAATAAAATAAACAGCATAGCGAGTTGCACAATTTATCAGTGAGTGGAAGACTGTCACCATGTTACAGTATTCCTGCCATTTTCCATAGAGGGGAAAATGCTGTAGGCCTGTGTGCTCTTATTTGGGTCACGTTAAAGAACCCCAGGTAGTCAAAATTTCCGAAGCCCTCCACTACGGCGTCTGTCATAATCATATGGTGATTTTGGGATGTTAAACCCCACAAATCAATCAATCAATCATGTTATGTTCTTACATATTTTAATGTACAAGCATTTTGTGCTGCTAGTTGTGCCTGGGCATGGCACTTAATTGAATGATTTTGGTATAACCAGACCAATATCAATATAGTAGTTCATACTAATGATGTACTTGCAGTGCAGATGTGTGGTTGAGTTTTGGCTTTAGCGTACCTCAGGTTTGCACGTTTCGTACTGCTCTCTCACAACTAGATAATGTTGCAAAAAAAAATGGCAATAAAATCAATATTGTCACTTTGCAACAATGTTTAATGTCTTATTCAACAACTACCTAATTGTGACACTTACGAAGACTGCTTGCTTGTGCAAACCATTTTACCTTTTTGTAAAGTTAGGTATATCCATAATTTCATGGCAAATATATGCAAGTGACAAGACTGCACAATACATTCAGTGGCGACAGTCATTCTATACCTCATGAACACTTACTGCTGATCTTTGATTAAGTGAATATCATTTTGGAATACAGTCAAATAAAATACACTGTCTCAAACAGGGTTCGAACTTGCTACTCTTTGTTGTGCTATTTCAGGCAACCGTGGCAGTTCCTTTGAACAGCTGGCCAGTTATAGTATGTAGCTCAATATGTGTCATGAGGTGGACTTGAGTAATATTCTTGATTGGGCTGGTTGGTGTATAGTTGATGGATAGAACAGGTCTTTAAAGTGGACCAGCTGATGACACAGTGGAACAAGAAAATGTTTTTTTTTTTTTTTTTTGCAAAAACCTTCGCAGTGCGCAGTGTTTTGAATACTAAAACAGGGAATTCATGTAACTGATACAAGTGGAAGCTCGGATACATCTTTCTGTTCGTGAAACATGTTGTTATCAAAAGAAAAATTTGGCAACTATACTTGTCTCTCTGGCGTCTGCTTTCACGTGCAAGGCGAGTAAAGAGAACAGGCTGTGAAAAAAAATGGCTGCACCCGTCACAGCTGGTGTTCTCTGCTTCGAATTTATCTAGTAGTCATTATGCACTGTGTGACCTGCAAGTTAAAAACTGGTGCTTTATTTGATTTAGATTAATGTGCTGACAGTAATTAATGTATTTATGACTGTATTTCTCAAATTCTTAAATTCTCTGTGCGTTATGCTTAACAGGTGTGGCTGCACAAACAGCTGGCATTTTGAATCGTTTCAACTAACTTTAAACGTATGCATGAAGAAAAACACGAGGACAGTGCTGACACTAACAACTAGCATTTATTGAAACCATACGCTTATATAGGTGTGACAATCTACAGATACAACATGTGCACAAACATTGCAGAGGCTAAACAGAATTTTAAAAAGAGTCGGACACTTGTTATGAAGGTACGTAGTCAATTTCTGACAGACAGCACAAATGATGGGGTGCTGATACATTCAGTGCCTTTCATTTTTAGGGTGATAGCTTCTATTTTAACGCGAGCGTCCATGCCCTTCCTTTTAGCAACCACTTCTGTGCTGTCTTGTCAAAGCGTGCTTGGCACTCACATGTCCGACAGTAGGGTGAGAGGTGGCCTATGATGGCGCATGCCTTAACATTGTTCGTGTGTTCTCTGTCGTTCACGCAGGGTCCTGTCTTCCCTATGTACACCGATCCACATGACAGTAGTATGCTGTACCACCTTCTGGTCAGATGTCACGTACTTCTGCCTGTGCTGCACCTCTCATGATCTCTCGTCCTTGTTGATGCATTCGCACATCATACATCCTTTCAGAGGGCCAGAACACACTACTTGGATGATGTCTTGCCGTTTTGCAATTTTCTTCAGGTTGTGGCTTAAGCCGTGAATGAACTTGGGTTCTTGAACCTCGTCTTGACATTAGAATCGGAGCACATGTGTTGGAGGTATGAACCCAGGTCAAGCCAGGGCTTCCGCCAGTCACTCCAAGAATGTCACCAAAGGACTGGTGTTCTCAGCTCTCTTAGCAGCTTAGAAAAGACATGCCCACATCAAATCCAACAGCTTCCAGCATCAAGTCACAAAGTTACAAGATGCTAGCGATTCAGTCCAGGTTGTCAGAGTCGTAGGCTTCTCAGTCCTCAGAAAAGTGAAAATGTGCAAAAGAAGGCAGCACGAAACCAAGGATCAGGGCTAGCAACATCAAGTACAAGTGGTTCCATATGTGCACGGTCTAAGCCACAACCTGAAGAAGATTGCAAAATGGCAAAGCATCCAAGTAGTGTGTTCTGCCCCACTGAAAGGACGTATGATGAGCGAGCGCGTCAACAACAGGGAGGAGAGACTATGCAAGGTAAAGCTGTGGCAGAAGTACGTGCCATTTCACCAGGAGGTGGTATACAGCATGCCACTGTCATGTGGATCGGTGTACATATAGGGTAGACGAGATGCTGTGTGAACGACAGAGAGAACACGCGAACATTGTTAAAGGGACACTAAAGTCAATTAACAATTTATGTCTGAGTGAAAGCTCAATGTATGACATCTAAAACGACAATATTATCAACAGTGTCCTACTTACCGAAAAAGTATGGTAAATGCACAAAAACACAAGCGCCGCAGTAGGACATTTTCAAAATGATCCCGATGACATCAGATGGACTGCCTACAATTAATCACTAGTAATCGATCTAACTGCACTAAATAAAGAACCTTTCGTGCATCAAGAGACGCAATAAAATGCTGCTTGTTTGTTTCTGTTTGATTTATGGAAAAAAGAACCGCCGGGTATTACTATAGAGAATGGCGCCAGTGGTTCAAAAATTCAATTTTCGCATGGTTACAAGAGAAACGTGGCGCCAGCTAGTGGGGCACAGTTGAAACAAAAACGTCTGCAATCTCGAAGCCAATGGCGGGAAATTGATCAATGGTCTTTGTTGCTACAGTGGCTCCCGCTGCTTTCAGTCTCCTGCTACTAGCGCAGTAAAGCCGGGCAATGTTGTGCACGGCAACAGTGACATGAGACGGTCCGGTCGATCCGCTTTTTGAGGTGGGTAATTTGAAGTGCACTAACACAATGCGGAGTACTATAACGTGATTTTATTACAAAATAGGCCCTTCCTTGGCATGAAAGTAGCACTAGGAGGTTTCTGGATTGCCATTTCAACAGTCAATGTTGACTTTATAGCTGGCTTTAGTGTCCCTTTAAAGCATGCACAGTCACAGGCCATCTCTCAGCCCATTGTCAGACGTGTGTTCCAAGCATGCTTTAACTGCACGGAAGTGATTGCTAAAAGGAAGGACACCAGTGCTTGCATTATAATTGAAGCTATTGCCATAACAATGAAAGCACAGAATGTATCATTGCCCTCATCAGTTGCGCTGTCTCGGACAGAAATTGGCTACGTACGTAACGAGTTTTAAACCTCTTTGGTCTATGCAAGCTTTGTGCACATGTTTTCAACTGTAGATTGCCACAGCTATATATTCCGTGGAGGGTTTCAATAAATGCTAGTTGTTAGTGTCGGCACTGTCCTTGTGTTTCTTTTCGCCTTGCATATGTTTAAGTTCATCTGCGAACATGCAAGATCACCAACTACCCCAGATGCAAACCAATCTAAACAGCTTACCTTGCAAATAAAGATGAAATGTAACTTATACTTTGTGCTCAGCCTGAATTGATGCAAAATGATAGCTGATTTCACCATTCATTGGTTGCTGCCATTGTAGTGGCCAAATGCTGCCATTGCAGTGGCCAAAAGTAAACGCACGTTTGGATCAAAGCGATTAGTTGTGTCTGGATAAGCGCTGCCATGTTGATTGTAACTGCATTTACCGGTGGTTGCTGATACTGAAATTAAGTGCAATGACATCAATGTGATGAATCATCCATCAAAGTGATAAAACATGTAACTGATTGATTAATATATGGCGTCTAAGGTCCCAAAACCACCACATGATTATGGGAGGTGCCGTAGTGGAGGGCTCCGGACATTTCGACCACCTGTGGTTCTTTAACGTGCACCCAAATCTGAGCACACAGGCCTACAGCATTCTCACCTCCATCGAAAATGCAGCCACTGCAGCCAGCTACCTTAGCCACTCGACCACCACGGCGGGGTGACAAAGCACGTAGCAAACCACAAATGTCTCAATCCTGCCAATCATACAGTAATTATGGGTTGCTGCGCAGTCATGTCGCTTGCATGCATCTTTTGGCCTTGGTAGGGCTGAACAGTAGTGGTGAGATGGAGTTTAGTAAAATAGTCGCACTCAAAACAGCTGTGGCTTAAATTGCAGCTGAGAATTTAAATTTAATTTAAGGAAAGATCTTAATTTTTCTTTAAGTTGGGTGTCTGGCATGAAAGTTAGTACACTTGTTCAGTTTTATCCACAAAATTGAAATCTCTGTCTGTTTTAAGTGTATTAAAACAAAAGGTATGCTATTTCTAACACATGATTAAGGATACGTGTTATGGGCATTTCTGGCAACTTTGCTTTGTCAAACACAGCAACAGAGTATGTGGCATGATTGCCAGGAAGCTGGTTTGGTGGGTGAAGCTATTTAGTTTCTTGTATTGTTGTTCACCAAATCATAATTCTCGATTAGAAATAGTATGCAGCAAAATAATTTCACTAATATTTGTATCTTTATATTTTGCATTCAAAATGCATTGAAAAATAATCAGATTAGCATCACCGACTAGACCAGCTCTCTGGCTGTCTTGCCAAGCATTTTGTTTTTGTT